GCGAGAGCGCGTCAAATGAAAACCGATCCGATCCGATGCGATCTGTCGATCCTTGCCTGGCGTCACCAAAAATTGCCGCTCATTTAACGATCGTCAGCTAATTTCCATGTGCCTCTCTGTCTCTCAGGCTCTCAGTCTCTCTATGGCCATCTCACTTTGAGACTTGGCTTCCATCTGTGCTTAGTTGTTGTTGTTGTTGTTGCTTTAACGGCTGCATCGTCGGCATCATTAACATTTTCAAGATTTAATCATCAAACATGGCGCTGGTTCTTCTGGTGGTAATGATGCCATGTTCTGTGCCTTGTTTAGTCGCATGTCGTACATGCGCTTTTATCGGTATTTAAAATATAAGTATTTCTAGCTGCATAGCAGCAGCAGCAGCAGCAGCAGAGGCAACGTGTAGCTTTCATCAATTTTATTGCGTCACATATAAGTTTCAATTAAAATATTAAAGACGAGCTCTTTTGCTGCCAGCTCCGGTGGCTTCAAAGCAAGTAATAGAAGATTTCAATCGATATGCGCTGATCCAGTAACCATAAATGTCACAGGCATGACAGAGTCATAATCATTATGTTTGTTATCAAAGAGATAGGTTACAGTCCATAAAAGGAAACTTCATATATAAAACGTAAAACAAAACATTTTTTATTTATAGAGCTTAAGAATTATTTCCATAAAACAATTCCTATTCAATACTATTTTAACTAACAATAAAATAAATCAAATATAATTTCCCATGGCAAGCGCTTATTGATTAATTTGAACTTTCAGTCAATTGCTGTATAAGGCTAATTGTCATAACACTATATATATATAGTTACAGATTCCAGTTCACATAATCAACTATGCCACACAGCAGTCGAAACTTTCCCATAAGCGAGAACCAAAACTTAATTCATAATTCAAGCAATTTACAATTGTTATTTGTCTTTAACAAGAAAGGGGGCTTGAACATGACGAACCGAAAGGCTTCGTGTTCAACAGTTAATAAAACAAATAATTGCGCTGTGTATGCAATAAAAATCAGGTTAAACGGTGGGCAGGACAAACACGGGACAGCTTGGACATCCGCGGCTGGCGGCCATTGAGAAAGTGCTACATACCCGACCCCCTCCCCCTAGTCCGATATGACTAGACAGAGATGGAAACAACAACGCTGAGCACTAATCATCGCTGGAGAGCGAACGCCAGACAACAGACAGACAGACAGACAGACGACAGCCAAGAGTCGACTACGTCGCGCCAATTGGAATTGCAAATCTGCCAAAGAAGACAACACATGGCCGAGAAGCTGAGAACGACTGTGGATTAGTGCTGTTCCATCTCGTTCACAATTAAGGGAATCATTAAACTGAAGTGAGCTGAACTTGTTCAGCGAACTTTTAATGATTCCGCAATTGAATCTCCTACGAAAAGCCTTGCAAATAGGGTAAAAGACAAATTTGACGAGCCTTTAAATATAATTATTATTAAAAATTATATTAATATTTATAAGTCAAGAGTTCACAACTTATTCGTAAAATGGAACTAATATAGCCAGCTCCACTGTGGCTGGCCGCGTGCGCGTCTTAGACAAAATGGTGGAGACCACGACGACGACGACGACGACGTCGAAGACACAGGTTCATTCTCCCATAAATACGCGCAGCGGGTGTTAAATATTTTGTACGACTTCTGCAAGTCCTCCGAAGACGATGACTACAACCGGCCCAGCACACACAGACACACACGCAGTACCTGAAGCCCCAGTGTCTCTGCAGAGACTTGCTCGTATCTCTCACGCCTAAGCAAAACTTTGGACCAAACGCCTTTGTTCATCAATTAAGCTGTCCTGTCCGTCTGCTCAACCAAACCCCCCAACTTGCCTCTGTCTGCATACACACACGGAGCCTGGGGGCTGGGGCGGGGCAGATTGGAGACACATGCTCTGGCTTGTAAATTGTGCGACGGTCAGAAATTGAAATATGGCGTCGCAACGAAAGCAAATTGAAATCAATGAAAACGACGTCCAAGTTGTGTGTGTAGCTGGAGCTGCAGGCGTCCTTAAAGCGAGCTTCCAAATTCACATGAAATTTAATTTGAAGGCGGAGTCAATTTTAAGGAATACCCAACTAACTCTGACAGATTGTGGCAGCGGCTACTACAAAACTAGATCAAAATATAACAGAGACAGAAATGAATGTAATCTAACCTAGAGTAAAATCATATATTTATATGTCTGGAATTAAAATTTATTTTCTATGAAAAGATCTATAGACTAACATCAAATATAAGTTAAAATATTTTAAACATTACAATACTTTTTATTTTAATTAACATTCCAACTCAAATGTATCTAGGCCATACTTTATTTGTAACTATCTAAAGATCTAAAGATGTATATAAATATTTTCACACATTACTTTAGGCTATTTTTCATCAACTTAAAACACATATATTAAAACTTGCCCTTGAGTAATGGTCACATGGTTTTTTAATAATTAGTTGTAGCTCATTCAGCAGGAAAAACAAATTTTTCACTAACTAAGCTGACACAGAAATTAGCATAAAAGCTGAATGCAAATTTAATTTCAGAGAATTTCAACAGAAAAAGGGTCTATACACACATAGACATACACACACACGCACACCCACTAAATATGTTTACGAGTCGTAAATACGCCGAGATTAATCAGTTAAATAAACATAATAAAAGGCTAAGCGCGCATTTTGCGACATTTTGATAAATATCAAATCAAAATAATGCGTCAAAACAATTAATCACGATTAAAGAGAAAGAGCAAGGGAAAGAGACCGAATTAGCGTCAGCACGAAAACACATTACAATCCAATGCAAAGTGCCAAAAATAAGAGGGCCCAGGCTGATGATCGATAAACGCTAAAAGCAAACAGCAACAGGGGGTTACCGTTACACGGGGCTGGCGGAGTGCTAGAACAAGTGTTTGCAATCACACGCCATTTTCCAATTAGTGGCAAAGGCAACAACACGCACAAACACAAACACACGCACGCACACACACACACGAAATATGTCCGCAATTGTGTCCAATGGGATTTAAGCAAAAGTCATGCACAAGAAAATTAAAATCTGGCAACACTTTGACAACAGTCAACGTCACGTAATCGAACGTAAAATGTAATAAATGCGTGTAAATGCGATTTACAGGCATCAGCAAAAAAGGAACACCATTTGAGAAGGGAGAAAAGTTGCCTTATTCTATTTACATTTCGGCTTTTGTGCATAATTTAAATGTGACTCATTATTTATTCATGTGGGTCGGAGCGTGTGTGTGGGAACTTTGCCATGTGGCCGGCAGCTTTGTGGGCGTTTACCAATGGGGAAACACTTTTTTTTATATATTTTGTCTCATTTTTTTTGCAAACAAATATCAGTGCACTGCTTAAATGCGTTCCCCTTGCGGTTTGTCAATGAATGCGCAATTGCCAATATGTCATGCTCTCAACCTGTTGCGCCGCAAGAAAAAGAAGAATAACAATGTAGCACATGAGACGCCATGGCGTCTCTCTCTCAGACCCGCACACGTGCTCGTATGCATGTGCCTCTCATATGCAAATATAAAATTATGCCAATTGTTATTCACGTAAATAGTATTAACATTTAGAACAATCACTTGACAAGCACAAACCCAAGAACAAACAATACAAACTATGTATATAATTAAAGGCAAATCGCAGAAGAAGAGGAAACTAAACTAAAATAGCGGCACTTGAGCGGCAAGCCGACCAAAGCTGATTGCTATGCATTGCACGCTAGCTGGCAGCGCTGTTTAAAGTTTCGCATGAAATTAAATTAAAAATTCAAACGTTTAACGCTTTATGTTTGTGTATTATTAGATATTCACTTGGGAATTACCAACTTGATATGAATGGGATACTTTGTTTATATTCAATTTAATCAAAAATCACGTTTAAGTAACGATCTACATTCGCTACTGCCCCAAGGGAAACATTTAGGCGACGCTCTTGTTATTGTTGCTGTTAGTGTTTGCACGTGCAACAGGCCGCAAGCCGCACAAAGCGGTCCGCGTGCGGTCGCCGGTCGGCTAGGTGTGCCACCAGGGCAATGGCGCCTGTCCACAACCCTTAATTGTCCGTGTAATCAGCGAGCTAGCGAGATTGTGTGACAGTTTTCCACTGGGGGGTGGCGAATTTCTAATGCCTTGTAATGCAACTAAACAGCTTTGGCAGCGGCCTTATAAGTGAATAGTAATAAGTGTTTGAGGGTGACGTTGATAATGTGATTTGACTTGATTAGTTGGCATTATGGCAAGATTGATGGAGCATGTGTCAAATAACATGTTAAATCAATGTAAACCTTAAGCGCTTGGTCAACCCAAAACAATTTGTTGTTAAAGTAAATTGATTTTTTAGCTTTAAATTTAACATTCTTATCGACTTTAAATTTGAAAATCTAGCTTTAAATTTAACATTCTTATCGACTTTAAATTTGAAAATCTAGCTCTGACAAAAGCTGGGCGATTTGGTAGGCGCTGCCAGCAAGCCAGAACCATGAGCATCACTTGAAATAATTAAAATGTACCACAAAGTACTACACAATCGTTTACAAAATTTCATCAAAAATATAATTTAATATAATGAAATATACTTTGAATTTTATTAAGAAAATTCTTAATTTTTATGTACCATAGAATATATATTTATGAGAGTACAAGTATCTGAACCTTATCAGGCAACTACAATAGTGCGTTAGGTGAAAAGTACCAATAAGGTACCATGCTCAATCGATTAGTACTTTTTAACATAATTTTGGAAGTGTACACGATAAAGAGGTACATTTCCAGTACATTTCAATTTACAGTTTCAGGAACAATGCTTAAAAATGTACCACGTACCAATTTAATTAAAATTGTACCATATATGAGTATCACCATTGGTACACTTTCAGCAGATACAACAACCAGCAACAGCTGTTTAGCTCACAGCATTGACAGCCAACGGTCACACTCAAGCGATATAATGCCAAAAACCTATCGATTTTATTTCGTTGTGCGCCTTTTTGCTCCAACTTTCATACGAAATTAATGTACAGAAATGCAACGCGTAAGTAGGATTGCTTTATTAATATATTATGGTTGTACATGTTATATGTTATTGCTGCTATTGACAGGGTATAGACTCGTTCTTCAAGCGGGTTCCCAGCAAGAAAACCAGCGACGAAAATGCAACATCGCCGCCAACGCCGGCACCTCGCAAACGAAAGGCCCTCGTCATATCCAGTGATGAGGACGAAGTGCCCGCCAGTCCGCAGATAAGCAAGCACGGTAAGGAGCTAAAGAAATCTCGGCGTACACACGACGCCCAAGACAATGGACACGCCACCAAGAAGCCCTCGCTGTCCAAGTTGAAAGAGCAGCCCAAGCAGCTGAAGAAGGTCAATCCATCTGAGTTGTTTGGCGGCGAGACTACGCGTATAGAGGCGCCCAAGCCTAAAGAGCGTAGCCTCATTGAAATGGAAGACGAGGCCATTGATCGCAGTCTAATGGAGGTGGATGTGGATGAGCCAAATCCCAGTCCCGTGGCCAGCCACAAAAGGAGCAAGGCCAGCAGCCCAAAGCCTAAGGCTGAGGCCAAGACGCCCAAAACAGAGCTTAAGACGCCCAAGTCAAAGACGCCAAAACAGGAAAAACATGCGGATCTGGAGAGCAGCGTGCTGTCCGATGAGGAGCGGCACGAGCGCAAGCGCATGGCCGCCGCGCTTTATCAGAAGTACAAGAATCGCAGCAGCTGCCTAAATCCGGGCAGCAAAGAGATACCTAAAGGATCGCCCGATTGCTTGAAAGGATTAACATTCCTGGTCACTGGCATACTGGAGTCAATGGAGCGTGATGAAGCCGCATCGGTCATTAAGGGATTTGGTGGACGTGTCATGACAGTCGTAGGCAAAAAACTCAACTACCTGGTGGTGGGCGAGGAGGCAGGTCCCAAAAAACTAGCCCAAGCCGAGGAGCATAATGTAACAATACTCAGCGAGGATGGCCTCTTTGACTTGATACGGGAAAAGTCGGGCGAAAGTGTGAAAGCGACGAGTCCTGAGGTTAAACAGGAGAAGAATAGCAGTCCGAAGATAAAGAAAGAGCACGAGAAGAGCAGCTCAAAAGTTAAAAGGGAGCATGAAGATAAGATAAGTCCGAAAAATAAGAAAGAGCACGAGCAAAAGAGCAGCTCAAAGATTATGAAGGAACAGGACGAGAAGATGGGCAGCTCGAAAGTGAAGCAGGAGCATGAACAAAAGAGCAGCTCAAAGATTAAAAAGGACTCGCACGAGTCGAACAACAACAGCTTCAAGCAGGAGCCAAGCAGTAACGACTTAAAGATGAAGCGTGAACAAGGTTCCAGCGCACAGATTAAAAAGGAACCCAACAACAATGTGGATGTGGTTAAACAAGAGGATGACAGCATGAATATGGCTTTGGTGGACAAGTACAAGCCCACTTCAATCAAGGAGATTGTGGGCCAGGCAGGACCGAGCAGCAATGTAACCAAGTGAGTACAACACAGTCATATCAAAATTCCTATATACATAAAGAAACGTAATTAATCAGAACTCTTCATGTCTGAACAGATTGATGAACTGGCTGTCCAAGTGGTATGTGAATCACGATGGCACCAAGAAAACTCAGCGGCCCAATCCGTGGGCCAAAAATGATGATGGCAGCTTCTACAAGGCAGCTCTACTCTCAGGTCCGCCGGGTATAGGCAAAACAACAACGGCGACACTGGTGACCAAGGAGCTGGGCTTCGATGCAGTGGAATTCAATGCCTCGGATACGCGCAGCAAGCGTCTGCTCAAGGAGGAGGTGTCCAGCCTGTTGGGCAACAAGTCGCTAGCTGACTATGCCAATGGCAAGACGCAGGCGGTGTCCAAGAAGCATGTGCTCATCATGGACGAGGTTGATGGCATGGCGGGCAATGAAGATCGCGGCGGCATGCAGGAGCTGATTGCCCTGATCAAGGACAGCTCTGTGCCCATCATATGCATGTGCAATGATCGCAATCATCCCAAGATACGCTCGCTGGTCAACTATTGCTACGATTTGCGCTTCCAGCGACCGCGCATCGAACAGATCAAGGGGCGCATCATGAGCATATGCTTCAAGGAGAAAATCAAAATGACACCAGCCAAGCTGGAGGAGATTATAGCCGCCACTAATAATGACATAAGGCAGACCATCAATCACATTGCGCTGCTCAGCGCGGGCGAGCAGCTACCAGAGAAATGCTCCGCCAATCAACAGGTAGCCTCCAAGGACTTGAAGCTGGGCCCTTGGGAGGTGGTGCGCAAGGTCTTCGCTGCCGACGAGCACAAGCACATGACCATCTATGACAAATGTGATTTGTTCTTCCACGACTACAGCATGGCACCGCTTTTTGTGCAGCAAAATTATCTTCAGGTGATGCCGCAGGGCAATCGTAATGAGATTCTCTCCAAGGTGGCAGCGACTGCGGATGCACTCAGTCTGGGCGATATGGTGGATAAGCGCATACGCGCCAACTCCGCATGGAGTCTGCTGCCGACGCAGGCCGTGTTTAGCTCTCTGCTGCCAGGCGAATATATGTGCGGCAATTTTACGGGTCAGATAAATTTTCCCGGCTGGCTGGGTAAGAATTCGCGCAGTAACAAACGCTCACGTCTCGCCCAGGAGCTGCACGATCACACGCGCACCTGCACCTCAGGCTCCAGGCAGTCCGTGCGTCTGGAATATGCCCCGCATTTGCTAGCCAATATTGTGCGTCCATTAGCTGAAGATGGCCAGGAAGGCGTGCCCGCTGCGTTGCAGGTCATGAAGGATTATCATCTGCTGCGTGAGGATTTGGAATCGCTGATCGAACTGTCCAGCTGGCCGGGCAAAAAGTCGCCAATGGATGCCGTAGATGGGCGGGTCAAGGCGGCGCTTACACGCGCCTACAACAAGGAGGTGATGGCGTATTCCTATTCGGCACAGGCCACCGTCAAGAAGAAGCGCGCCGAGGCTGCAGTCGAAGAGGATGAGGCGGGTATGCTATATGGCGAGGAGGAAGATGGTGGCCAAATAGCACACTCTAGCGATGATGAGGATGACGACAAGCTCGAATTGGATGGGTTGATCAAGGCCAAAAAGAAGCCGGCTGCAACAGCTAAAAAGTCAGGTGGAACAGGGGCAGCCAAACCCAGAGCAAAAGCCAAGAAATAAAAAGTTCCTCACGTTGTTTAGTTAAGATATGCAGCCATTAAGCGATATTTCTGCATGATTTTTTTTATTCATTTATAATTTAAACGCCCAAAATCAGATGTTACAAAAAAAATTATATTTAAAAAGCGCGGGCATTAAATTGAAACATTTCATTAAAATTAAGTTATGCAACACTATCGATAAGCCGTGGTATCGTTATCAATATTAATCTACCATGGCAATAAGAGTAGGTTGACATAAAATACTTGGATGAACGTGACTTATCGATGTTTAATTGCCAACAGCTACCGATATTAATGTACATATCGCACACCGCTGGGCACAAACAGCTGTCAGAAGTAAAAATGGCGTTGTCGTGAACGGTTCGTACACATTTCTACGCACCGCGCAAAAAATTTCATTGAAAAAAAATGCAATTTGCATTTCCAACGGGCAATTGACAAAAACCAAAAAAAAAACTGTCAACAAAATGTGCGCGCTGCTCTGACACAGTAAACAGACCACCAGTAATTGGCATATGCGCGTATTAATTTAAGTATTAAGTTGACAGTTGAATCTGTGTTTTTTAGCTGTTTACTCAGTTAACCGTTTTTGCAGCAGTGAAAAATTCTGTGTCCGTGTATGAGTTTCGTGTTTTGTGTGTGTATGTATGTGTAAAGGGCGCAGCAGCAGCGCGAGAAAATAAAACGAAATAGACAAGTGTATATTTAATAAAGTACCATTTTAATTCGATTAATTCAATAAATGAAAGTTCAAAGCGATCTTTGTTCATTTTGCGCAACTCGTTGGAGCCGCTGAAAATTCAATAAGCACGCAAAATTCCAGAACACACACAGACACACACACTTGCAAAGAAAGGCGTACAGCATCATACGGATAGGAACACGCATACGCGCACGCACACAGTCGTAAGTGTAGACTTTGACAACAGCTAACTGGGTGGCGCTACCATACACGCATACATACTCCGAACCTCTCCTCCTCCTCGTTTACTGTTGTGTTAGGCACAAGGACGTTGCTTATATGTATACACAATACAGTTCACCCATACATGCGCACCAGCCTACGATAATACAACTGTTAAGGCTGGCTTGAATAGCTGTAAACACTTGCCGCCACCTGCCGCGCCTTGATTTATTTATTTGTTATATTTGCCTGCACCTCTCAATTATGTTTTTTGCTCACATGTTTACCTTTTCACGCACACACACGCTCACCCATTGACACCCGCCCTTTAAATTCAGGTCATTGCATTTGTTGCTCTCTCCCACACTCCCACTGTGTCGCTCTTTGTCTCTCCCAGCTCTCTCTATGATGTACTGTTAATTTTTTCAATATATATTTTCGCTTTCATTTCGGGCGACAGAGCTTTTGTCACGCCAATCAAATAAAACGCACGACTGCAGAGCCTCAGTCCCAGTCTCACGGCCTCATGCACAGCAGAGCTTCCCTGTGTTTCTGCAGACGTTTGTTTTTCTTTCATTTTTATTCTGCACAAATCGCACTTTTGCATTTTAATAATTTACACATAATAATATGAAAAAACTTGTTAGGTGCTCGATAAGAACACTCACTCACTCACACACTTACACAATTGTAATGTTTGTTTAGCGGCTTTTCGTGTTCAGCTGCTTCGTTTATTAGTTGAAAGGCAGCTGATAATAAGAACAACACACGTTGAAACATAGATAAACGATGAGCATTCCATATTGTTGTTGTTGCTGCTGCTTCTGTTGTAGTTGATATTGCTATGGTGTCATATACACGGGCAGTTCGTTATCATGTTAAATGTGCTTGCATGTGTGCGTGTGTGGAGTAGGCTAGAGATAAGCCCGACAACTCACTTGGCAAGGCAGGGGCCAGCAGCAGAAGAAGCTTGTTAAAAATAACAGTTGTTTATATAGCTCTTGAATATTGCTTTTTTGTTGTATTCTTACTTTTTTGTTTTTTTTTTTTGGCAACTCCGCCCTTCCAAGCGCACAAATGCTGACATCATCAGCCGCTTTTTATCTTTGTCTGTGTGTGTGTGTCTCATTCTACGCTTTAGGCTTGATTTAATGAAATTTAATTTGTGATGAACAGCAATTAATATGGGTATTCACCACGAAAATAATATAAATGTATATTCAAAAGAAAAATGTTAACTAAGCAATGCCAAAGATAAGATACCCTTGCAAACATTAAACATATTTTACTATATATTTGTGTATACATTTAGCTACAGCACAATATTCACACTGCTATCTAAATTATATAAATATCAGGTTTTCATATCAGCGTTAGCTAATGTATACATAGAAGCTCAGTGAAGTGGCTGAGCTTAGATGAAGCAATCAAGAGGCCAAAAATGTATTGACAGCCAAAAAAAGTTGTGATAGAAACTCTATTTTTATATAGATAGATACTATAGGAGCTCTATGCAATATCAGATTCTGTCAATAGAAAATACACATCTATATACTTCATTTGCCATTGTTTAGGTTGTAAAATATGTTTGGAATTCAATAAGCAGCGACATTCGTTCAGTTGTCGATTATAGATCCTGAGATCCATATTTTGCAATCAGCTCCAAATCTAATAAGAAATTCTGTTTATGGGCTGCGTTACAATTTCGCTTGATGTTTCCCAGACAGACAGACCGACTGACTGAAGTCTAGCCTGGTCAAGTGAAAAAGTAGTTTGGCTAGCGGTTCTTTAACCCATTTCACATCTACGATCGATGCCAGAGACCAGTTTTATTTTGGTGATGAGCCAGCGACAAGTTCCTCAAGATTTGTCATTAATGACGGTTATGTGTCGTGCCATACTTGTTTTATGGCTCCCCAGGATTGACTGGTAAAACGGCATTCTGTGTGGGTGCCGTTACAAGCATACTGACAGCAGCCGCAACCGTTGCTGCGTCGCGGCAAATGCAATTAAAATCGGGCTGAAGAAAACTCTATGCCGACAGACAACTGAATTTGCCACATGTGGCAAGAGTTTTTATGAGCTGAATACACGCAGAAGATCGTAAAGCAGGAGTCTCTCAGAGATGTAGGGGGAACGTGTGCACGATAAACAAAGGCGAGAAATATATATAGTAGATAGGCATACATAAGAGTATATATATATATATATGTATGTAGGTATATAGAAGTATATATAAAAGAGCAACTGTTTTGTTTGCCTGGTTGCTTGGGGAGCCTTTATGAATACTCTTTAAAAGAGTATCATGGCTTTGGCATGTAAAATGCAAAGAATTAGAAGAAATTGGCGATGATATAACATATAACAATTTCTTTTACAGAATATGCGTATCCTCAATAGCGAAGCTATACTGTACTAAAACTTAATTGCTTGTTTTTATGAAATCTGAAAGATATCTCAAGCAGTTCACATAATATAGAAGAAATATAAAAGGTCATACAAAAACGTCAGATTATCCTCAACATTTTGTTATAAGATAATATTACTTAGCGCGGTAAGTGTATTTAAAATTCGACAGCCGCGAGCGAAATGTTTTCTTTCTTGTTAAATACATATTTTAATGAACTACACAAAGTCGAACTGCCTTTTCTGAGGTTTGATTTTGAATGCACTCGCTGCGTAGCAACAACTGTCTGACAGACAGATAAAAAGATTGAGACAGAGAGAGAGGGGAAGATATCCTTTTATACACACGTATACCATATATCGTAATTTGTTTTGCTTTGCATTTTATTTTTAAAACCAAGTACGAAAGGAAAAACAAAAAATGAATCGAGTTGCCATGTGGCAATGGATGCATTGGAATGGAAGTGCTGGAATGGGTTGGGCTGGCATAAGTTGATGCTACTGCATGGATTTTTAGCTGCCTACGCAATCATCCAACGGCAATGGTTTTAGTGAGTTGTCGTTTTGTTCCTCTTGTGCTTCACATAATCTACAAAAACAAAACCGAAAAAAATAATTTTAAAAAATCAAGTGATCCATCATCCATTTTGGCATCTTCTGTTCGTTTTAATTGAGATGCTGAGATGACAGTTGCAAATGGACTAAATAGAAAGTAACGAGATTAGGGTGAAATTAAATAGAATATTTATGAAATTAAATAAGATACATTGAGTATTACGGCTGAGTTCTTTCATTGGATATTTCTTCAGTGTGACTGGCAGAACGCTCTATTTTGCTTGCTTTAATAAATTATATATCATATTTTTCATACATATGAGCTATACGTTTGTTAGAAAAGTTTCCGAGATATGACGGCGTGAACCTGTAGCACTCTAAAAATAATTTCCACAAGACCTCAGTCATAGGTCGGTTTGTTAATATGCAGCACAAGCCTCAGCAACAGAAGAAATCAGCAAAAAAAGTAAAAAAAGAAATAACTCAAACTCATAAATACAATGCGAAAGCCAGCGCACTTGAAACGTTCCGTCAACAAACCGCAATTGAAAATACACACACACACACATGTGCGTGCGCGTGTGCGTGTGAGTGTGAGTGGAAATCAATTAGTATTGTCAAAGCATTTCTTAGGTAGTGACAGTCAGAGAGACTAAAGTCTACAGTAGAAAACAAACGCAGATACATAGATACATACTTATAGATACAAATACAAGTCGCAAGAGCCAAGCTTCAAAGGGGAACATAAAAGAATATCAAGTGGGCGCATTGATTAGATATTAGTTGTCAGTTGAGTGTAGCCAGCGGCATTTAATTTATAACAAATCACTGCAATTTGCCGCAGATGCGAAACAATCTAATAACTTATGAATAAAACAAAGGAACAAAGCGAGGCAGCACAGAGAGGGGGAGAGTGGAAGACAATGAAAGAGAAACTTAAGTGCTGTGACAACCTTGTCGCAGGCAACTTGACTGACATTTCAAGAAGCACGCTCAAAGGGTTGCAGATACACACGCACACACATACTTACACCCACACTTACACTCACGCCCAACAGCCACACGAAACAAGTGCTCAAGTATCTGATGGTCAGGCACACACTCAAGTTGAGCTCAATTTGTATGCAGGCCGAGGGCCCAGCTCAGTTTACTGAATTTATGTTTATTAAAACGGATATGGAAATCGTTTATCGATCGAAAGCCACCCAAAAAAAAATATTAAATTTTTTAAATTAAAAACCTGTTTGCAAGTCGCGTGCCGATTAAAACTTGTACAACAATTCTCATTTGGCATTGTCTGTAATTAAAGAGAGATACATATAAATGAACACTGAGAAAATATCTAGAAGTTGTGTAATTAACTTTCCTTGCAGACTTCACGGAATTATATAGATGAACACTCTAAGAATATACACATTTTACTTTTAATAAAAAAGTATCAATTCTTTGTTAGGCCATAACAGACAGTTTTTAAACCAAGTTTAATCTCGGATTAGAGTAGATCAATATGTAATTCCAGTCGAACAGGATTTCTGCTCTGTTATTTCTCTAAGTGTATTTACATATAAATGTATCTATTATTAAGATGGTCGGCTATTTTGTTTTGTATTTCCAACGAGCTCATGAGCTAGTAGCTAGTAACTTAATTTGTCGAGCTCAATTGCTGTTTTGCTGCTTTGTTGACCCATTTCGACTGTTCGATTAACTTGTTCTTAGCTGGACGACGACGAGCTCTAGCCAAGTTCTCAGAGTATCCCTCGCTCTCTCTCTTTTTATATATATACTTCGTATATATTTGTCAGCGTTCTATTTTAAATTCGTTAAATTATTTTGTGGCCATACAAGATGCGAAATCAATTCAATAAGAACGCGAACAACAATAAAATCAATACGAATCTCAATAAAAATGGAGCGGAGACAACGAGATATCCAAGAGAGCTTATATAATAGTTGATGTAATTTATACGCCTGGTATTAGATCATTTGCTATAATTGAAAGCCATTTATATATAAAATAAATATTTTTTATATTATTCATTTAATTGAGAATGGCCTGCAATTAGAAATGTAACTGAGAGATTGAAAAACTAATCATCTGCGGCAGCGTATCGCGGGCCACACACTGAATTGGGTTAAAGTACCGCTATCAAAGCCAACTGCCAACTGCCAATAGCCAACTAACCAACTAGCCACGTTTGGATCTGTCAACTAGCTGGCCAACTATGTCAACGGCAGTTGCCATATCTGGCTGCATATTTTGCGTGTCAGCCCAACTCTATGCAGCTAACTACAGCTAAATTGGCAATGATGATGCCTGCTGCCACTGTATTGTTGGTGTTTTAATCAAAGAGTTGACGACTTTCCTATAGCCTTTTGTCAGGTTGAGCTTTAAAAGTTTCTATGCTCCTCGTCTCTATCTTTACCGTGCCCCTATTTCTTTTTGCACTCATCGTCAAAAGTTTTACGGCTTTTATATGCTGTCAGGTGACATAATTTTACGTATACTTAATTAAGTTTTATGTGCTCTGTACAAGATGAAATTATCAATGAATAGCTTATGAAATGCCACTGCCTGCCCTTGCAGCATCTGCCTTTGTGTGCAGTTTTCATCAAAGTTTTAACACTCTTTTATAGTTATACAATTTAAGTTTTACACAAAATCTTGCTGATGTCATAAGTCAAAAGTGGGCGGCTGCATGCCCACCAGCTAAGAAAGTCACACACTGCGTTTTGACCCAGTAACCAAACAAAAACTAAAATCATAAATAAGTTTAAGAGTGGGCGAATTGATCGGCATGTTTTGGTTACTCATGTTTCTGCACTCCTCTCCTCATTTCCACAATTTTGACAGTAAATAATTAAAAAGGCATAAAGCCGAAGCACCCAAACAATGACCCAATAAAAATTGTCTGTCACAAACGATTTTCAATATTCAAAGGGCCATAAAAAAATCAAACGACACGCAACAACTCAAATGAAAATTGATTGCACGAGAAGAAAGAGTGAGATCTAGAAAATTGAGTGAAAATTAGTAAAAACACCTGTGAAATAAATAAGCTTATCGCAGGCGACCCAGAAAAAATAGGAAAACGGCGGCGCACACAAAGTAAACATGAGAAATGTTCAGCACTTAAAAGCAACACAAATATTAAAAAGAAGCCGGAACGATAGAGAGAACGAAAGCGAGAAAGAGGGCAGGTAGCAAATGGGCAGCCCACGTGAGGCGCCCACGCAAAACCGGAAAGCTAAGCGCTTGAAGCCGAAAACTTAAAGCGAAACATAAAGCTGGAGTTGAGGTTATGGCAACGTCATTGTCTGTGGCCAACCTACATGAAGGCAGCTAGAAGTCATTTGGCGCCAATTATATTGTGGGCCGCAAATAGATAATAAACGAGCGTGAGCTAGCCGCAAAGGCTCAACTATGCGATACTCTGTGAGCTGTGATCTTTGAGATCCTGAAACTGACGGTTTGATATTATAGCAAAACCTAGTTCCAAGTAGTTCCTATATTTAAGCAGAAGAGATTTTCAGATTATAGCGTATTATCTGTTTCTAAGCATAGCCGTTTTATATGCACTCCGCTGGGTACAGGGTATACGAAGAGTACTATTTGAAATAAAATTATGATAAAGATGGAGTCGATGGAAACGTCTCCTACATATATTTATGGGCAGCTCGTAAATTTGAATGCGGACGTGGCCCGCTGTCAATTTGCAGATACAGGATGCCCGGGCCTTACGAATGGGGCGTGAAATGTGTGAATTTACGATGCGATATGATGAGCCAAGCAGCCGAGCGAGCAGTCAGGTTGATCACTAGGAAGAACTCTCTGCTCATCTTCGTACCGCACTCTCTCTCTCTCTCTGTGTTTCTCTATGTATACATATGACATCGATAACACTTGAACCAACGCTGACAACGTTCAATGACCCAGCACTCATTCGCTCATACACTCATTCACGCATTCACTCACTCATTCATTCACTCAGTAAGTTTCTCATCAAACTTAGTTGCTGCTCAGATAACGAGTCACCGAGTTGGAACTCAAAGTCGACTCGTCGTACATGTCATACGCCTGCCATAAAAAGAATGAAACAAAATAAAAGTCTAGAAAAATACTGGACTGGTTCAGTTGCCGAGCCGCATAAGTCACGTTTTGGCACATACATAACTCGCAAATGATTAGCATTTGCTCATAAAGTTATATAGACTGTGCCACAATTGTGTAGTCTAGTGCCTCCTCGACTTTTCTCTGTGTTAATTGCATGATGATTGATGTCCATAGAGACCAGAGACAACGAGCTGGTACTTGCGAAAGATGGAGCTGTCATTTGTTGCTGTTGGTCAAGTCTACGAAATTAAGGGTAATATCTTGAGAAAGGAGGCGAGATATTAGATAGAGGGGAGTAATTTATGCGCTAGAGTGCGCAGTGTCTTATGGAAGTCTCAAGATTGTTTCTGTTTTAAATAAACGTATGTTCATTGTTCACAGCTATAAACAATTGCATTTAGTTTGCTTTAAATGATTCCAAGATAAACACATGCAAATTTGACTGCATAGTTCAAGAACCTCTTGAATATTACTGAAGTAAAAGAATAAGCGATTAAATAAATAAATATTTATAGATGGCTAGCTTAATTCTACTGACTTTTAATGCAAATTGTGTAAAATGTTTTATATTTATATTTATATTTAATATTCTTGTGATTGGCTTCATCAAACAGAGCTCCAAAACCCGCTTTTGTTTATAAAGAAATACAGCAAAGTTATAAATATATGTGACAAGTTCTATTCGCATGGCTTGATTCGATCCTGAATTATTTGCAATAAAATAGGCGTGTGAGCTCACTTTCGCATAAATTTGACAGCATGTTTCGGGCTCTTAATGGTCGACTATAGAGCCCGACATTATCTTTATGAGCTTTATGAACTGTTTTCGAGGCTTAAGTTCATTTGTGACTAAATTATCTATGTGTTTCTTTTACTTGCAGCAAAATGAGGCAACATACATCTGAGCGATGAGGAAATCGAGTCCACGTGCGCGTTATAAATATTAATGAAGAAACCAAAACGAAACGCAACGAGAATTCAATTGAGAGTAGCAGCAGCAAATGAAATTATGCCAAACGCAAGAATCGAACAGAACAACAACAAAAGGCACTTAAAAGATATATATTTTAGATGAACTGAGTCAAATGTGAAGCAGATGCGTGCGATTGTGGCATAAAGTTATTGCTTCCACTTTAATTCCAATTGTTGTTCGATTTTCTGTTCTGTTCCGTTCTGTTCTCTGGAAGCGAACGAATCAAATTTGATTGTGCTACAATCCACAGCTTTATAAGAAAACCAAAAACGAAAAACTCGAAGTGAATCGAACTGAAGCGAAACGAACCCAGTAGCATTCCAAGTCGTAGCATTTTAAAAACTAGAAAGTCATATTATAAAAGACAAGATTCGTGCAATCTTATGCATGATATATACAATTCCGCACAGCTCGGACTAAGTGCAACAGGAACAAGGCAAACGGCAACTATTGAAGACGTCGTTTCTGTGTTGCAGTTACCACAATTCTTGTGTACAAAATGTCACTGGCTGACATGGGCACAGTAACACGCTCCACGGGCGGTGGAGGCGGTGGCGGTGGGGCTCGCCACTACGATCTGAACAATACGGGCGGCGGGCCAGGTGGAGTTGCCGGCGGTCGCATGACCCATTCGCTGAGCACGCCCAGCGGCGTGGATGGCACGCCCTCAACGCCCAGGCATCGCGGCGGCAAGAAGTTGACAGTGCGCATACAAATGCTGGACGATTCAATTACCATGTTTCAAGTTCAGGTAAGCAAAGCTAAAGAGAGCATAAGCATACAGATATACATAAATATCTAGCCTATGTCTCAGTTAAGAAACAGCATAAAATATTTGTTTGATCATAAGAAAGCTCAATAGAATGCTCTAAGAATAAATGTTAGATATCTGCCTATTTGCGTGGGAAACTTTAATCTTGTTAAATACGATAATATTTATCTTAAGTAGAGCCCTTTATAGCCAATGTACAGCAATATATATTTTTGCATAAAAACGTATGATAGGCTTGTTACACACTGCAAAACAATCAATCAGAAGCGTTTTGCATTTTAAGACTTGCGCAACCCTTCATAACTCTCCTATAACACTGATCCAGAACCTGAAATGTTGGTTCAATTTTTTTTAATTAAATTATAAATATTATCGTTTGTCTAGAACTTGTTCCTCGACAACTCAAAGATAACTTTCATAATTCCTATAATTTCATTAAATCTGAACCGTCGTTAACTACGTTTCCATTAATATAATATTCATTGATTTATGACCATCTGTTTGCACGACCTTGTCCACAAAGAAATGTTCAATTTTTGGCTCCACGGTAAATATTACTTACTCAAACCTAGTTCAGGCTCCGTCGATTGCGTCATATTTCGTCTTGTGGCGCAAGAACTTTTCAATAATTCTATTAAAAAGTTTCGGTATTAGGCATTATCAGCCAAATTGTTGACTTTTCGCTTGCGCTTGCTTCCCCCTAACTAGATAAGCTTTTATGAATGTGCGAATAATAAAAAAGGAACAACAAAACCTTTCGTTAGATAAATAAATTGGCGTCGCAAGAAAAGGCAAAATTCTGTGTCATGGCAAATAAATGAAATGCTGAAAAGCCGGAAAACCAACAGCTAAAAAGCTAAAAAGTACAATAAAACAGGAGATTGAAGAGCTTCCAAAATCTCTTTATTTCATGCTTCTAACAAAATTATGAAAGCGAAAAATTTTAATGCCAGAGCATAGAAGAAAGGCAGAAAACAAGAAATTGGTTTCAAAGAAACTTGCGCTGTTTATCCATGTTATATAAGAGCTCTAAAGCTATGTAGCTACGTTAAAGTGCTGGCAATTATTTAAGGTCTGTTTAAATTTGTGTCACAAGTTGTACAGAAGCTGACCCATCAGAATAAAATATGACGCACGTCAGAGCCAACCACAGAACAAATAATAAAATTAAAATACCCTATAATTTTTCAAAGCATTGTGGACAGCTCCACGCGCTTGTATAGATAGTTAGGTTTATATAGATATTTATATGAATATTAAACAGGCATAACATATTACTATCTATGGGAACTGAGGGTCTTCATGCAGTGGAGCTTTGAAGTTAGGTGTGTGAGCTCTTGTGTGCTTAACAAAGATGAAACCCATTAAAAGTTGGGAATATGCCATGGGCATAGGAACTCAACGATGCAAGTCGCATGATGGCAACTGTAGACTCTAGTAAATAGAGTGCCTATGCATAGAGAGCGTTTTTAACTCGATCAACCTTATTTACTCACAATGCTCTTGACCACGCTGGCGCTAGTTAGCGTCGCATAAATTGCCACGACCACAAAGTGCTATAGCAAAATGCTAGTTGCGGTTGATTGTGGTTGGCAACTGAGTGCAGAATATGCTTTGGGGGTGAATCTATTTATAAGCTTGCAGCCCTCATTCATTCGATTGCACAAGCGGCGTTACGTATACGCAGTGTGTGCGCGGGCCAGAGGAGATATTACATACAGCAGTATGCTTGTGCTTTGCTGGCAAACAAATTTGTTACGTGCTTCAATTTTTAATAAGCTTGCACTGGGCATTATTTAAGCTTCGATGCGGGGGTTCAGGGGGCAGCAAGCAAGGGTTCGTGGCCATCGTTTCTATGAAATAGTTTCTTTTTATGTGGCACTTTAAACATTTCCAGAACTAGCAACAGCAGCAGCGCCTCAAGTGCAACTGGTTCACAAGGGTTTACTCTTAAACCTAGCCAAACAACCCACTCACAAATACCAACACAGAAACGCATATCCGCACAACAATGCCGACAGCAGCCGCAACAACAGCTTAAGTGTCTAGCTTAACTTGAGTCGAACGGTTCTTGACTATATACTGACTATATACCCTGTATAACTGACATTTTTAGTAAATCTTTGGCTGTTTTTATATCTTAGAACTATTTGTAAGACTTATTTAAAGATTTCAACTTACCAGCTTTATCTGGGTAAATTAAAAATTGAGAGAATCAATCTTACTACAGTGAATAAACCTTCTACGGCTGGTATGTGTCCTCATTAATAATTTGTATTACTTAACATTACCCATTTGAATTATTTGTTTTGGCTGCTGAAAATTGTGACAGATGCTCATCAGACCCAATATGACTAGCGTAAAGGGTATAACAATGGTGTAACTAACAGGAGCCATGTTGTTGTTGTAACATTTTATCCAGCACACTTTTTGCCACGCCATGTTGAAGTGAGCGAAGCCTTTGAAATGTGTGTCTACAGTAAGTTTGTTGGGGCAGGAGGGGACTAAGGGGGCAGCCAGGGCGTGGCCACTTCAACTAAAAACCGAGTAAGCCTTTTGCTTGGCTGGATGGCTGGCTGCTGGGCTAATGGAGCCAGGAAGTGGAACAACAAAAGCAACTAGAAAACCCATTAACCAAACCCAACAAGACTGAAAACATATAGAGCAAAATGGAAAAAGCAACAGAAGAATATAGGTATACGAACGAGGTGCAGGACAACGGCTGTGTTTGCATTAATGCGATTTGTGGTCAAATGCAGTCAAATAACAACAACCGCGTGTACAACAATTGGTCACAAGTGTATCTGAGTGTGCCTGTGTGTGTCTGTGTGTGTCTTGGTTACAGTTCGGAGACCCCAAATGAACCACAGAGTGGGCGAACAAAAAAAGAAGCAAGCAATACTTGAGTCAAAAGAAAGATACAGGGAGAGAAAGAGATTCAGAATGATACCCTATAATAAACCGAAAACCGACTTCACGAAAAGTTGATAATTTCAATCTGTATATAAGCCAGAAATCAAGGCTGTGCTATCAATATTCTTAGACCTTTTCAAGAACTTGTAAATGCCATATTCATTTAAAAGAATTCGCTTTTGGATGCATCGCACTCCTTTTTCCATTTTCTGTGTATACAGAGTATAGACAACGTAAAGAAGAAACAAACTTTATTTTTGGAGTTGGCAGCAGCATCCGCAACACCTCCCAAACCAGGTCTGCCAGGGGTGGAGTAGGCTGGGGGTGGGGCGACACGGAAAATTTGTTGATTTGTCGGCAGCTTCTGTGTGTTGCCTCAGCTGTTGGCTGGCTGGTTGCCTGGCTGCCTGCCTGTTTGTTGTGCTCTTGTTAGGCCGGAACACATTTTGGCTGGCAGCCAGAAAATGTGAATGCCCTGCCACGCCCAAGCGCAGGTCCCAGCGCCAACCACAGACTCCGCTCACAATTCCCTTCTCTGCTACACTTGTCGCATTAATCTCTTATGCGTGTTCGCAGAATGCGCCGCAGCCCAGACTTTAGTTTTTGCTCCCTTTTATACAATTATATATTACTATACAAATTTTGAGTTTTATATATATAGATATGTATGTAGAGAGAGAGGGAGAACTTGCTGTTATATATTAATGCAATTTCATTTTATGCTTGGCTTCCATTTGGCAGCCGTTTCTGTCTAAAGATGGATGCGATTGCAGGTCACATCTCGTTGACAGGTGCTTTGAGGCAACTTCTCAACTATAAATAGGATTTATTTTCACGTGCTGGAAAAAGGCTTTTCGCTGCATTTGATAGCAAGTAGCTAACGGAAATGCATGCTCTCTGATGCATTAAGGCTACCAAATCGAGTTAAGCGTCTACGAATGAAATGTTTGGATTGACGCAAAAGTAGTACAAGAGCTCGAATTTTATAAGATTGTGAATGTAAATGGGCTTGTCATATACCTTTCCTTACCTTTCCTTAGTAAATCCTCAGAATTTCATAGCAGTCTGCCGATATTTAATGCTATAGCCAGCAGCTTATTGTCTGTTTTCAAATACCAAATGACAAATCCATAAACCCTTGTGCACTTAGTGATATCCGTTGGCAGCTTTCATAAACTCTTCCGTTCGGTTTCTGGCTACAGGCGCCCGCATAAGTGAAAATTTATTGCGCCAGGCAGCTGTTTCAAGGGACAACACAACAACTATGTGTACGAGTGTCTGTTGGCTGATAAAAGAACAAAAGGCAGAAAGCATTGCAGTTAGACTGCTAGGCAGGGGTAGCGGAACCCTAGAGTAAACACCTGCAGGCTAGTGAGGCAGCTCCCTTTTGCATCCAGCGACAAATTGTTAACAGATTTGTGTGTGCGTGTGTGTGTGTCTCTGTCAGTTGTTTGCACTTCCTGTGATTCTTAGCAATTTCCCTTTACCATTTGCTATAGCCGCGCCCAAAGCTAATTGGCTGTTTGTAGCTGCTCAAAGTTCCAAATTGGCTTAGTGAATTGGCCTCACATTCGACTCATAGATAAAATGCCGCCCATTGCCATCTGCAGCCGAAATGTCAAAGTTCGGGCGTGGTTTTTGGGGCCATTGTTGCTGCTATCCCCACATTTGCCACCTCCAGCCACCACTGTAGTTTCTGGAGCAGCTTCTCTCATGGGCAAACCCGCACATTCGACTTTCAGCAAAAACTTGTTCTCCCTTGTTATCCTTGCTATATTTTTTTTGCCGCTCCTGTTGTTTGCCAAAATTAAATTAAATATGCTTCAGTTATAGTGAAAAACTTGTGTAAATTTAACTTTAGTCTGACAATTAGTTGAAACTGTGTGGCCACAAGGCAGGTCCCAGTGGGGCAAGCCGCACTGAAATTAGATTTCCTCAAATGTCATAAATAGTTTTCAGACTGCATTCAGAAGGGAATTCATTGTTAATTGTGATAACAAACGGCAATTAAATTATGCTCTAGCAGCCACAAACGAGGTTGCCAAAGTGTCGGCAGAAAGTTACCAAAGCTTGGCAAATCAAATTATTAATTACAGAGGAAACGACTATTATTTTAGTAGCTTAATAGCTTCAGCGTAGAGTGACTAGTTAAGTGCTGCTATTATTTATCTATTCTATTAATGGAGAATAAAACTAAATAGATTTATTATGTATTATGTATACCAATAAATATTAATTATAAATAATTATAATTTCTTAAAAGATTTTTTTATAAAAGTGGTATGTATTGTTCGTTGCCAGTTTAAACTAGATTACTACACCAGTTGAGTGTTTTTGTTTGCAAGAATTGCACAATAAATATACCTAGTATTTTTGTTTATGGTTAATATATTCTCGAAGCAGTAGTATTAGCTATTTATTGTCTTAATTGATCTTAACGGTCTAGTTCTTAAGTGTAGTTTAGTTGGAATTGGCTCCCATTTTACTCTAACTCTCAGCCCATAAATATACTACAGTTAGAGCACTCGCAACATGAAGCGTTGAGACCTTTTACATAGTAAATCAGAATTCGTGTCTAAATTTGAAATGCATCGCACTTCGCCGCCAAATTCCCTATTGACCTGAAAAGCATACAGAAAAAATATATAATAAAATACTGCGCAACTTTTCTACTATTTTATTTGAACTTTTTTTTATTTTTATTTATTTTTCGCCGTTCTCTTTAGTCATAAAAAATGCATCAGCTATTCCTTTGTGTCGGCACATTGTTTGTTATTTCATTGTTTTAGTTGAACTCGTTGTTTGCTTTCAGCTCACATTTCAATTAAGAAAAGAAAGGGAACAAATGGCATTCTCAAATGGTTTATGACGCTACATGTGTATAGAGAGATCGGACAGATATATTTTAATTTAATTTCTTGTATTTTTGCTCAGATAAATATTTAAGCTCAGGTACTGACCACGCCCAAAAACCAATAAATTAAACACATGAAATATTCAAATACCAAAGAAAATGTGGAAAACAGGCTGAAAGGGTGATGTGCTGATGAACTGTAGGCTATCATAGATTTTAATTACGCTTTGTCACGCCCTATGGAATGACCACATTTCACACTTTGCCCAAAGTCAAACTGCAAATATCGAACTGTTAACCGGGGCACTTTGCCTGATTGCCTGTTGAAAGCAGAGCCTGCAGTAGCATTCTCGAAGGATGTTTTTTCGCTCAACTCTGTAGAAATGTCAATTACATTTCCATTTGCCTAATGGTGCAAAGGTGTAGCAGCTGCTCAGGACATGGAGTGGCACTCATGGCTTTGTGGTTGTTGCCATGGCCCGAAATTAGCATATTGTGTGTATGTGTGTGGCACATGGCTCTAATCTAGACATGTGTTTGCCACTTAACGTATTAGCAAATTGAAGGACATCCCAAGGACAATAGGTGTTGCGAGTGAATGGATCATTAATAAGCTCTTGTTGATGAAATCTTCATTTCACCCGGTTTGTGGCAGTCCTTTGAATGGATGACAGCTCAAAAAATGGATATCCTTTACCATGTGATTAGAAGTGTTCGTGGAGTATGTAAACCAGAGCTACTTGGAAATTATAATAGGCAATTTTGTAGCATAAAATATTTAGGTACTCTCAGTTCGTCATGTACGTAGCTTGGCTTTGCCACACTGTTACATATTTAATATATTTTCTTTAGTATTATTTCATTGCTTATATATTCTTGGCTTGTCAGACTTACATTACATTGTCAGGCTTCTCGTACTATTGACTTAGTCTGGCTTAGCCTTAGCTTAGATTACCTACTTATCCATTCTGAATAAATGAAAAGCTTTAAAGTTCAATAGCAACGCAGTCAGACTGTATAAATTGTTATATTGCAACGTAGCTACCTAAATTGTTTTATAATCTATTTACTCTTCTGACAGCTAGTTCAATTTTTCATGCTGACATTGCCTGGGTGTTGAATATTTTAGAAAACAAATGTTTTCCATCAATTTGACGCACAATTTACTCAAAGCATCGAAATGTTGGGCAGAGGGCGCTAAGCGGTGTGTAGTTGGGCGTGTTCTGGTTGTGGGTGCAAGGGCGAGACCAATGCAATTGCTGACTAAGCTCGTTAGGTTTGTTAAAAATTTAATCCGCGTACATTTGAGTGTTGCCACACGCCGTCAATTGCCTTGTGGGCGACGGCCGTTTGATTGCATTTAAATAAATTTCAATTGAGATGTCGCCTCGCCCCAACCAGTACTGCCTGGCTGCTAACTGGGCCATTTGGCTGGCTAGGCATCTCCTCTCTGGCTGCACTTAAGTAAAGATAAAATGTAGGTCGTTCAGATCTTTGCCAGCTGCCAAATTGAGCGAAAAGCAAACGAACTGGGGGTCAGTGCAATTCGAGTGCAGTGTAAATTCCTAAAAAAAATACATATTTATTATTTAACGCTATCTAATGGCATTTTTAATCAACCCTAATGGTGTGTGGCTCGCAACAAGACAACAACAACAAGACGAAGAGCTGGGACAACGGCGTGACTGTTGATTTATGTGGCGCTTAGATTTGTGGTACAGTTGCCAAGTTTTTAACTGTTTTATAAATAAGATGTCAACTGTCTAGATTTAAGCGAGTGCTCTTCTTGCATTTCGCATAACTTTGCAGGAAAAATGAGACTTGTAAAGTATGGAAACCTATGCTAAAACTCACCGAAATCCCAAGGGAAAGATTATTTATATTGATAATCTCCTTCTGAGTTTAAGTTAATCTTGCGCAAACCTTTCGTAACACCATTATTCGTTTCTTTTTTACAGGCCAAGGCCTTGGGTCGAGTGCTCTTCGAGCAGGTTTGTCGACAGCTTAACTTGCTGGAAGCGGACTATTTTGGTCTGGAATATCAGGAAATATCCACACATACCAAATATTGGCTGGATCTGGAGAAGCCCATGAATCGTCAAGTGGGCCTATCTCTCATCGATCCTGTGCTGCGATTCTGCATCAAGTTCTATACCCCAGATCCGGCACAACTTGAAGAAGAATATACCAGGTAACTATAAAAGGCATATTCTATAAAGATAAGTTTCCTTAATATTCGTATTCGTTTTAGATATCTGTTTTGTTTGCAAATCAAGCGAGATTTGGCCACGGGCAGTCTGCAGTGCAATGACAATACGGCGGCCCTCATGGCCAGCTATATAGTGCAGGCATCGTGTGGCGACTATGTGCCCGAGGACTATCCAGATCACACGTATCTGTCATCCTATCGTTTTGTGCCGCACCAGGATGCGACCATGCAACGCAAGATTATGGAGAATCACAAGAAGCATTTGTAAGCCTTATAAACTGTTTAAAGCTGAGAATTTGTTAACATATTTGGTATACATTTTATGCAGCGGCCAATCGCCTGCTGAGGCTGACCTAAATTTGCTGGAGACAGCACGGCGCTGTGAACTTTATGGCATGAAAATGCACCCCGCCAAGGATGTGGAGGGTGTGCCGCTAAACCTAGCCGTAGCGCACATGGGCATTACCGTGTTTCAGAATATAACGCGTATTAATACCTTCTCATGGGCTAAGATACGCAAGATATCATTCAAACGCAAACGTTTTCTGGTCAAGCTGCACCCCGAAGGCTACGTAAGTGTTAGAGGCGTATATTAGATTGCTTTATAAGTTGTTTTTTACTCACTTGCAGGGCTACTATAAGGACACCGTCGAGTTTTTCTTCGAAGGTCGCAATGAGTGCAAAAATTTCTGGAAGAAGTGCGTCGAGAATCATGGATTCTTTCGCTGCACGACCGTGCAGAGCACGCCCAGGCGTAAAACTCGGGTGCTCTCACGCGGCAGCTCTTTTCGGTATGGGGAAGAAATTCATGTTCAGAAAATTTTACTCAATTCATCTTGAACTTACAGCTACAGCGGCAAAACGCAGAAACAAATTATTGAATTTGTGCGAGAGAATTATGTAAAGCGTCAGAACTTCCAAAGGTAGGTTTAGAAAAAAACTAAATGCAAAGAAGTTTAATAACTGAAATAAGCCTAAGAATTTTTTAAGTAATTTATATTTTTTTTTGATTATGTTAAATATTTTGATTTAATTTCTGCAAAGGCTGTTTAAACCATTCAAATTTTTTAATTAAACTATAATATAAATATGATAAAAACAGCATTTCAGCATTTTAAATCGACAGCATCGACTGTCAAAAAAAAACTAATCGATATTTACATTCCACTTAACAAATAAGTAAACTTGTTTTTAAAGCTTTGCTTACTTTTATCTTTTTCGACAAATAAAATTTTTAAGCTTATGCTTCCCCCATATGAATAACCAATAACCCAACTTCAAAACTAAGCCAACTAATTATGAGTACAATTACCGAGACCCCAAACCACTTTTTAAAGAATCTCATGCGTACACATTATAAATCATCAGCGTGCTCATACTAACTAATACTTGGTTATTTATTTTGAACCGAATCGCTTATGAATTCTCAACACGATTTTAATTTTCAAAATTTATTTAAAAAACCTCACAAGCCCTATTCCAGAAATAACACATAAATATCCCAAGAACTTGATCAAAATATGTCATCGAGTTGAAGAGAAAAGAGAAGAGGATTAAAAAACCAATTGGTCTTAACTGCAAAGTAAAGCACAAAAATAAAAATATAACAAAACAAAAAAAAAACAAAAAACAAAAAAATGTTAAAGCAAAACTTGTAGCAAATTGTACAGAAGTAAACGACAAAAGCATTAAAAACTCAAATTTGTTTTTATTTTTATTTTATTTGGTTTTTTTTTTGAACATGTGTATAACCAAACTATATAACGTAACCTTTTTGATTTGTATACTAAAATTGGCAATTGGCAACTTTAATGCGTACTAATTTCACATGTCATACTTATGTGTTTGAGTCCAACCCAAAGTCAACTCATTTTCAAAACCCTAGCGTTAACCCATTTCACTATCATAGACTATACTGAACTACAATCGCATTATCACAATATCTTTCATATCGTGTATTGCATTTATAATATACTAACTAGTCTAGTCGTTTGTCCCCATCGATTTTTGGGAGTTGTGTCTTTTAACTCGCTGTTTTTCTTTTTCCACCTCTCCTATTTAAAAACTGTGTGTTTTGTTTAGACTGTTCACAATTCACAGCCAATCACGTTTGTTTGCCTCCTATAATGCCCCCTAAATGTGTAGTAACTAGTTGTGTGTGTTCTAACTTACGGCCTTAAATTTACCTACTTACATAAGTAGTTTAGTCTGTATTATACTCTTACTCTAATTACCCCAACAGCAAATTTAACTAAATATATAATATTCTATATAGACAATGTGTTAAGCCATTAAGGCTATTGGCTATAGCCGACGAGGCAATATAATTAGTTTGTAGTGCTTCATATTACTCTCCGAACATTAAGATATACTAGGCGTTACCCATAGCTATTTGATACCCTAAGTGTTGTTGTGTCTATTTTTAAGTTGTACTTTACGATACAATTATTTAATTGCTATAATTATTATTTTGATTTCTTCTGTACTATTGTAAATACTTTAAACTGATGCATTTGCTAAAGAAATCAAAAATTTCTGAGTCTTTCTGCTCACATAAAAACCAACTGTGCTTAACCCAAACTAAAACTTAATCTAAAATACAAAAACAAAAAATATTTAAAAAAAAGTTAAACAAAACATAAAAGTTGCTTTCTAAAAAACAACTGAGCATGTGAAAATAAAATCGTGGTATCCTCTTGTCTTTTCTTTTGCTGCAGGTCTCAGTCGTTCCGGCAAGGGCCACTGAATGCTAGTAGCCGAAGTCAGTCGCATACGTATGTGAATTCCAGCATTTCAGCCAATCCCCTACTCCCAATTGACACTGGTTTGTATTTATTTTGTTCAATTGTTCGATTATTATATTTCATGATTTATCATTTATCGCTTATCGTTTCATTTACGTACATATGTAGTTCAAAGAGTGTCGATCGCTCTCTTTCTCTGTCTCTCGTTTTGCTAGCGGAATGTGTAGCCGAAGGCGATAGATTTCTATTAAACATATTATTCATTTATTTATTAAATCACTGTTTTTTAATTTAATTGCACGCTGCAGCGGCATGGGATTATCGCAATCAATGCAGCGACTCGATGACCCCTTCTCTGACGAAGAAGGCAGCGGATACCTTGGATCGCCGACGCGACAATCCTACAGACCACATGCGTTCTCAAGTGAGTGGGCTCATGTCTTTTAAATAGGAGATCATTGAATATATATATATATGTTTATTCCCATAAAGGTCACAGCAGCCCAGGTGGAGATCTATCAGACGAAGAACTATGCAGCGGAATCGCCAACCTCAGCGGAGGAAGCGGCATGCTCGGTGGAACGTCAACACCACTCGGCAGCGGGTATGGACCAAATGAATTCGAACCGCTCGCTTTCACCACAGGGTCCGCAATCGTGGACTTCACCCAGCCACAGCAGCAGCCAGGCACAGCGCGGTCCCGATCTGGGTCGTGCGCATCAAGGCGATCACAATTTAGGTAAGTCCTTTATATCATTTAAGATCATTTATTATACAATTTTCTTTAGTTTTTAGTTACAGTTATGCCTATTTTAGGCTAATCTATGATTTAGATTAAGCTCTATAATTTTATACTTAAGACTAATTTAGTTTTAGATCTATTATTTAAACTCATTTCAATTCACAGTGGCGGCTGTTAACTATTGTATTAATTGAATGACAATGGCCAACTTGTGACCCCACTACAAATTCAATCCGAATGTTATGTTTTCAGTGTTTTCAGCCTTTTTGTTGTGATCATGCCTTGAGTTCGATTCGTTTTCGGTTTGTTTTGGTTACTATATTGTATCCAAGCAGTCCTAATGTACGCAAATTCTTTTAATCCCTGCGCGTGTTCAGGTCTGAGCCACTTGTCCCACTTGTACAGCAGCAGCACGCCTCGTCGAGTCTCACTGGCATCCCAAGTGTATGCCCCTGCCTCGCCGCAGCTCATCAGCATCAACACCAACACCAACACCAACACTCACAACAACACTATCAACAGCAGCAACACGGTGGGTCATTCGGTGGATCTCAGCAGCTCCATGGAATTGGAGGAGCAGGAGGAGCTGCTGGGGCCTGCGGATACGGAGGGGGAGGAGGAGGAGGAGGAGCCTATGGGGGAGGAGGAGGAATTAGTCGAGGAGGAAGCGGATTCGGACTTGACGGCATCTACCATCAATCGGGAGACTATGGCGGCAGCCTCACCGGCCTCAGCCATGGCCATGGCCAATGCCCGTCGTCAGCCGCTTCACTCACAGGAGTCCCAATCTCAAACTGTCACCCCAGTCCATTATAGCAGTACCAGTTATTCGATGTCTAAGCAGTGCATGCTTAACAACGCCAATGCCAACTCTACTGAAACGGAAACCGACAACATCATCTACACTGACATCAACGATATGGGCCATTATAAATACCCAGACTTTCATAACGCTCAAATGGAACACAAAATATCCAACAGTGAGCATCTCAATCTAAATGATCGCAATGATATTTATGCCACCGTCAATCGCAAAGCTAAGTCCAAGACACGCGAGAAGCATTTCAGCGATGAGTTTATCGATCAGTCTATATTGCAGTACACGCGAGCTAAGCAGATGGGCATACAGCCTGTGGCCATACCTTTGCTACAGCAGCCCAGCACATCGGCTTATGCTGCTGCCCAAGAACGAAATTATAATAGCTTGAACTATCAATATCACAATGATCTTAATCATCCTTCAGAATCGTCTTCATCGTCGTACTTTGGCACCGGCTTTGGCACCAAGCGAAATACTCAAAACGAACGAGCAAAACTAGCACAATCCGAGAATTATTTAACACCCTCTATGGACTCTCAGAATTCCAGGCACACACATTCTTTGCCTCGGAACTCCGAGCTATCTGGCGTAGATTCAGTGGATTCATACGATAGTCATTACATAACACATCATCCACGACGCAACTCCGAGGAAAAACAAGATTATCAAATGGCCACGGGTAGTAATCTTTACTCGACTGCCCAATTTGTTAAGCCCGAACAGGCAGCTGTTCATTATATGGATGACGAGGAGGATCAAGATGATGATCCGGAAGGAGAGAACATTTACGATCAAGTGGAGCGGGAATCCTGGCTGAAGAGTAGCTCTTGCAAAGATCTGTTCGAGCGCTATAGCAGCACTTACTATGCACGCGAACAGCCAAAACCCATGACAGCTTTTGATAAAGAGTTTCTTTCCTCTAATCGCATTGATTCGCCTGTTACGCGTTATGATGATTCTAGACACTCGTTGTACATCACTAAGAACCACTCAATAGATGCGCATCAGGAATTTTCACCTCTGCCTCAGAGCAAGGTGTATTCATCCAGCTATCCGGGAAGCACTTACAATACTCAAGAGCACAAACGCAACTTTGGACATCAGTTGGACTATACTGGCTCACAGGACGATATATCACAGGATAGCTATGAGCTTCTGGAGAAATATGACATAGATTTCTTTAGCGGACGTCGTCGTTCCGAGGATCACATGCGCTCATGTTCGCTGGACTCTGGCAACTACATACCCAGCGATGATGAATCCGTTTCTGAGCAGCCCAAATATCGTTCTGCTATTGATGTTAAGTCCAAGTCGGCTGCTGATATAATGAATGAAATTTGGGATGCCGAAGATCCACGTTACTTACCACGAGAGAAGCTCTCTGTCAAGTCTGATGGCAATTTCTATAAGAAAATACAGGAAGCCCTTACTCGTACCTCCAGTCAGGAGAGTCAAAGCGAAATATTTGAAACAAAAATCTCTCGCAGCTCCGACTCGAGCAAGAAATCTCATGACAGTTTGTATCATACAGATAGCAAAAAGTCCAGAGAAACCACCAAAAGCAAGACATCGGTGGCTTCCAGTCAAGATTCCAAGGAGTCGTTGGTGGGCGATTGTTTCGGACGTAATTACGAAATGCCCACAACCACTTGCAAGAAGGTTAAACAGTTTAATAAAAAAGAGCTCTACGAAAAGTTTGCACAGTCGAGTCAGGAGTCAAAGAGTGATTATTACGATGCTGTAGAACCTGTTGCAGAGACAGAAGGTCTCTATATCCGACCTAAGGTTAAGAGTCACGATTGCTTGCTCTCCGACACGCATAGCTCTACAGCCAATAGCTCATTCTACGACAGCCGTGATACATATTCCACATTTCCAAGCAACAAGACTCACAAGACCTCGAAGGTACATTCGATTAGTTTGCAAAATGTTGAAATTGAGCGAAATGCGAAATCTTTTGGAATCAAATCGCCAGAATCTGTGTCTACGCCTGCCTCTGGCATGCGTTGCCAGGAAAAGGATATACAAACTAGCGACTCGATCGATCAAACGGCGCCCATTAAAAAGGGCAACTCACAGTCGTGCAAAATATCCGCATTCCGTCGGCGATCTGATAGCGAGAACATCTTTAGTTTTGATCAGGACCGTATAGAGTGCATGCAAAAGTACACCAAGCACTGGGAAGGTCAGCCCAAGGATGAGAAGTCCAAACAAAGTCCGGATTATCCATTGACGCCCGAGCTCATCTCGGAGTTTGAGAAACAACAGGCACGAGTTGTGCATCAGAAAATTACACGTAAAGAGGAACTCATGGCCAAAACACACTTTGAAGAATATAATCCGATAATGGTCCCACTGAACTATGCTCATGCCACAGTGGAGCGCACTAAGAGCGATCCCAACTCCTTGGCTAATCGGGCTCGTCTGGGCAGCAATTCGCGACGTCATGTGCTTATGCATCAAAAATCAATTGACTTAACGCCAGCTGATTCTAGTGATGAGGATTATATCTATAAGCAAATACCTAGCGCTCCACCTTTATGTAAAGCGCATGGAAACTTTGAGATACCAAAATGCTACGATGGACCACCAGTTGCCCAAGTTGATATACCCAAGACAGGCTTTGAGCTGCCTAAGAGCTTCTTCCGGGAATACGAGCGACGATTTACAAAGGTTCTTAAGGAAGATATACCCTACGTTCTGCATAAACGGCATATAATGAATGGCACTGCACCTTCTCCAAATGACAAGAAACATAATAAGCCCAAGTCGCCCAAATCACCGAAATCTCCAAAGTCACCCAAGTCACCAAAGTCGCCGAAGTCACCCAAAGTGAACGCCATACCAGTACCAGGTCCAGCTGACTTTCTACCAGATATACTAGATAGTCTCTTGCCAGCAGAGACAAAAGAGTTTTTATTCACTCAAAATATAGATCTATCTAAAGTGGATCCTATAACACTGGAAATTGACAAGACCATACCAATCATACAGCTGTCTTCGCCCAAGCGGGACATAACCAAGCAAATGGATGCCTCGACTTTGGAGAAACTAAATAAGAAACTGAGTCAAATTGAAAGTGACTCAGCAACCAGTTCTAGGACCGAAAGCATGCAACAACAGAAGCTGGAACAAAAGCAAATGGAACTTATTCAAAGTCTGCGTAAGGAACTACAGGCGAATGCGCGCAAGGCCAACAAGCCGAGGGTAATACCCAAAACAAAGCCATCGGGCAAGTCCAAGAAGGGTAAGACTCGTATTACTTCCTTCTCATCAGATGATGAGAGTCTAGACTCGGACGATGTCTTTGGTTCGGCTGAGGCCATACCGGATCGCCTGGAGTTCTCACCGCCACAGTCACGTAAAGAAATTGAACCCATTTTGCGAATAGAACAGAGCCGACTTATCTCTGCCGCCTGGGGTAGAGGTCAGACCATGAGCTCCACAGAAATTGAGGGCTCTCCACCTCAGTGTCGTCGTCTGGCCGATCTGGAAAGTCGGTATCATACACAAAAACTTGATCCACAGTATGCCAATGCTACAGAGCTTCGTCGCATATCGGAGCGTTCCATATCGATACCATCATCGGAAGATGAGCCTCATTTGCCAAATCGTCGCATGGATGAATGTACCAACGATTATCAGCGTAATGAGAATATACCATCACCCATCTTTGAGCATGCGGAATTCTTTCGTAGCACCGATGACATCTATGAAACATGCCATGAGGAGAAAATAAGCGGTTCAGATATCGACTATACGCTGAAAAAACAAACTGCTAAGTCTAAAGTAAAATTAATTGAAGAAATAATTGATTCGTCAATAGTCATGCGATCCAAGGGAAATGCGCCTATACTATTCGCTCATGCTAGACTTAACCTATCCGAGGGCTCGGTTTCGCTACAACGTCAACATGCCACACAACAGTCGCCGACCACAGAGCGTCGTACCAAGAGCCTGGACACGCCAGTCATTTCTTTGCATCGACTGCCGCCCATGAATGCCTTTTCATCCAAAGACGATACCGTGGGCTTCGAGGAGGAAGGTGAGATTTTAGAGGAAAAGTCGTTGGAGCGTGCACATCAGGCAACACAAGATGATGATACAGCAGATAGCATTCACTCCTGCGCCGGTTCTATACCAACTCAGAGCAATTATAATGCCAATGGAAAAGACTCCCTACTTAGTGCTGTGGCGATTGATAGCGAGGAGGCGGAGCTACTTAACCAGCTTAAATACATAGAAAAGATTGCCTTACAAGGCGTCAAGATAAAAGATAAACGAAAGTCGAAAATGAAGCTGAAAAGTGGCGATCATTTAATACTAAATATACCCAAATATAGATTTACCGATTGGTCACCGTACAGCTCAGCCAATAGTTCACGTAAGACTTCGCCAGGTGTATCAAGGGCCAGCAGCATCGAGAGCACTGGAAAAGGGAAGCTAAAGACTTCAGAGCCCTACAAGGGCAAGCCCATGTCACGTAGTCGGCCGGAATCGCGACGCACCAGCGCGGATGATATTAAGGCTGGCAAAGATGGTCGAGGCAACAAAAAGTCCAGTCCCAAAGAGCGTCCGCGCTCCATTGAAATGCGTCGTTTGAGCAAGGACAAGAGTAAGTCGCAAGAGGAAACAGAAGCGGACATCGCTAAGCGCAAAGAGAGACAGCAAAAACTATACGAGTCCGCAATGAAGCAGACTATAACCATGCTGAGTCCTGTTAAAGATACACTGCCAGCTTTTCCAGCGCCTGAAGATAAGATACTGGTCAAAACTGATGGCGATAAGATAATCATTGAAACGGAATTCAAGTCTAAAGCAGAGGATCATGTCCTAATTGCCAAAGCACCACGCAAGTTGGACACATCGCTGGTCAAGTTTAGTCGCAGCTTTGATGAGGGTCGCAGTCCGGATAAACTGGACAAGGCAAATCGCAGCTTCGAGGATCGTAATAAGTCCTTTGAGGACTCAGAGAAATCGGATGTGCCCGAAGACATGATGATTAAATCACCCAAGAAAATAGCAAAGGCACAAGAAATGAAACAGAAAATCGAAGGTAGTGTTGTACATAAGAAATTCGATGGAAAATCGAGTAGCTTAGAAAAGCCTGCTGAGCATCACTACCTAGCCACCGACGTAAAGGCACGCAGCTTAGATGACAAGAAACAGGCAACGGCGGAGACAAAGAAAGCTGAAGACAAACCTACGGCTTCTGTGCGAAGTGCCATTGGGGATCGCCGTATGTTTGCGCATCAGTATAATGTTCACGAAGATATAGATATGCAGGCCGTTATCTCTGAACGTCGTTCACTAGAAATTCTGAAGCGTTCGCTGCCCTCAGAGGATACACGTGATAGCGAATACACACATAGTCGCAAGGCTTCCACAGCTGATAGTTTGGATTCGTTTGTCTCGGTGGATGAAAGCCATTCGCCAGTGCCGCCGCTGGAGGTTTACCCACATAGAGTGCCCACCATTGAGTGCGAGGAGCCCTCTATTGAAGAGGATGACAACTCATCAGAACGTCGCCATCTGAAAGTGGATCGACAAGATGTTAACCGTTTGAGCTTAGATCGTAGTCGAAGTGATGAAACAGGCTCTTGGATAACCGTAGAATGTGATGAGTTTATTGGTTCAGATACCTCGGATAATGAGCAGCGTACTTTAGAAGCAGATCGGAATGCTTTAGAGACACAAGCTACATTGGAAGATGCCGTACCGTTGGAGTACTCCAATTGTGCAACACCAACATCTGATTTAAATATATTGGTTACTCCGCCTAATGCCAGTCCAATGATTGAAAAGTCTGTGCTAGAGACTTTTGAAAAGTATACGTCCGAAGGCAAGAAAAAATACAGCCTGGACAAGCAAAGCGATAAATCGAAAAGTTCAGATTCATGGACAAGTGGCGAAAAGGACAGCAGTCCACAGCGTCAGCAGGACTGGAGCTTATCCGTGAAGGAGAAGAGTTCTGTCGAGGAAGAGTCCAGTGTAAGCTGCTCCATAGCACGTCCTCTGGGCATATCACAAGATTTTGGCAATGAGGAAGCTAAGAAATGCATGGAACTAAAACAGCGCATGCTCAAATTGGATGTGGCTGCCAATGAAGCTGAGATCCCTCCCACAGGTTCCAATGAACAGACGCCAACAAATGAGCCAAAGATAATCGTAAAGAAGCCCACAACGCCCACACTTGAAAAACAAAGTCCAATTGATTTGGGCAACAGTACCGAATGCTACCTTGATCCCATAGAGGAACGAATTGCTAAAATACTTCAAAGAACTGAGGACAGTGAATCCAGCTCGGGCGGTTCCCGCAAACCGCCCCGAATCGAAAAACCAGCTCGTGCAAATGGGGGGAAAAAACTGTCGGTAACAAAAACAGAACCCGGTAAATCTGGTAGCGATCGCAGTTCACAAGAATCGAAATCCAGCTTCGATTCGAAAGGATCCTTGAGCGTCGAGTCTCGTGGGTCCTTTGAAACAGAGAGCAGCTCGGGATCACTGGGTGCGGCACAGCGCCGTGGAGAGTTAGCACAGAAGGAACAGCAAAGCACTTGGAAAGCTTTTCCCATCGAAAGTTCCAACAGCTCTAGTACCGATGATCCCTGGCATCACGTGGAAACTGACGGTGGCTATGAGCGCTACGATGCGCAGAATCCGTTGCGCGACTCCTCGGATAGTGACGTCAAGGAAGTATCCCCCGACGAGCAAAAGGAGAGCGATACCAGCTATCAGGATGATCTTAATGATTTTCCCACCACCTTTGGGTATCCTGCTATGACCAGCACATTGGGTGGCATTGGTGTTAATCCCACAGATATCATAGGCTATAGTACCGGCTTTACGCTGGGCCGCACGCTCTCACGCATTTCAGAGCGGAGCACAGCCTCTGAAAAGTCTAGCATGGAGGATGATGTGAGCAAGGCTTCCACGCATTCCGTCAGTATTCGGGATGAATCTGTTGGCTCCACAGATCATCAGCCTAGTCTGAGCTCTGATTCGCGTAGCAATACTAATTTAGCCTACATATCGGATGCAGATCGTCGCACTTCAGCAGAAATGCCGGAGATACCGTGCGATTCGGCTACAGCGGATCGCCTCAGTAGCATTGGTAGCTTCAATGAACCAAAGTCACCAACATTAGTGACTGGTCGCTTCTCAGTAACACACGTAGATGAACAGCAACCAGATGACCTGGAGCGTCACACTCTTATGTGCCTCTCGAATGCAGGAAGCCAAGACTCGGAGGATTGGCCTCTGCCAGAAATACCGTTTGATCATGTGCCGGTCAAGCCAGCGGACAGTATGTATGCAATGCCAGATTTGGATAAGCCCGTGCCCAAGTCCTTCTGCTGGAAGGCGAGCATGGCATTCCAGCAATCTCAAGATTCAGTGGACTGGCCATCGCCGCCCTCCAGCACCATTGATGCGCCTATTGTGGTAGAGAGCATTGAAACGTACTATGCCAGTGAGGTGCAGAGTGCTGACAAAGTTGTCTTAGATGAGGAAACGAACGCTGCGATTCCGCCCGATGTGGCCAAGGTGTTGCCTTACGAGGACACTGCTTATCTCATGTCTGCCGCTTTCGAAGACAAGGATTTCGGCAGCGAGGATATACAATTGGATACAGTTAGCTGCTTGAGTACTACACTGAGTGCTGCTTCCTGCTTGTCATCGTCGTTTAATGTGAGCTGCAGCACATCCTCCACGCAGCCAACGGCTAGGGCAAATGCTGAACTACGAAAGGGATCTAGCCCAGAAGTAATTGTAGCGCAACCAACACGATCGCCAGCGCCGCGTAGCCCACTCTCCGAGGATGAGCTGTTTTCCAACGATGACGTCTTTATGCCGGGCACCATTAAGGTGCAGATATCACCAGATGCACAACTGCGCAAGCTCTCGCGTGGCTCTAATAATTCGGACACATCTATAGATGACATTTTGTCGGGTAGCACCTACCTGGACGATCAGACAACGGTACGTCGCAATTATGAGGCACGTTTGAGCAGCGGTGGTGGCAGCTGCAAAAAGTGCAGCCATTCCAGTCATTCAGAGGAGGAGACCAGTTCCATTGGCACTGATCTCGATGGTACTGTGCGCATGGGCTTGCAGCAGAAGAAATGCACACACAGCTCCCATTCGGAGGACACCTCAATAGGTCTCAGCATTTCCGAATGGTCCACAGGCACCAATACAGTGCGTCAATATGCAAATCTCTCTGGATCTGACAGCCTCTCAGCCGTCTCGACGCATTCGTGTGCGAAGAGCGAGAAATCGAATCAGACTAAGTCCAGCATGAGCTCGATAAACAAATCCGCCGAGAGCCTTAACGAGCAGAGCGGAAGTTATTCACACAAGTTTAGTGGCGATAATGGGTCCTCGGATGGATTGCGTTATGACATGCTGTCCAACTCGGAAACCGATAAGCTGAGCGAACCCACCTCGGCCACGCGCAGCGATGACACAACTTTAACCTTGACTGAAATGGCCCACACCATCAGCGAGTGGTCAACTTCGAGTAGTCGCACACTAGTGGGCGTGGTGCCCGGCGAGTATTTGCCTTTGAAGCAACCCAGAATGGGCAGTAAACCAAGCTTGAGTTCGCCCAGCGAGGAGAAGCGTTGCTCACTTCCTCAGATACATAGACGAAGTGGCAGCAATGGTAATCAGGCGCGTAGCTCTCAGGAACATGGCGAACAGCAGCCCATTGGATCAGCGGGTCCGGAAACAAGCGCCGCAGCACGCAAGCGACGCTCATTAGAGATGATGTCTAAGCTGTACCAGAGCCAAGAAATATGCTCGGAGTCGGAGTCACCTTTTGTGGAGCGCTTGTATCCGCACAGCGAGAAATTGACGGAGCGCTATCAAAGCCAGGAGTTTGTGCCGCTTCACACATCGGCACCAACTAGCACCACTCAAATTCAAACCCAACAATCACAACAGACTCGCCAAAAACCACGCGCACCACAACCGCCCACAAAGCCTAAGCCGGCGGTGACACGCCCCATAATGCAGGCGCTACTCAACAAGATGAAGCAACCGGGTCTAGCGGAACAGGCAGCGGCCGCCGCCGAAGCCGAGGAGGCAGCGGCAGCAGCGGTGACTGCTAAAATTGAACCAATGTCCGCCCCCAAACCGGCACCACCGCCGGTACCCACTGTGCCGCCAATTGTAACGCCCAGCGATTTGCCTGGTCATGTGGGCGCTCCGCCCTCTAAGCCATTGGCCAAGCATCATAGCTACGATGACAAGACGCTGTCCAAGACGCAGATACGTGAGTTTAAGACCACGTCCAAGCAATTACGGCAGTCAAGCTCATTCCACGAGCACATGTTGAGTAAATCGCAGCAATCCTCGCAAGAGCTGCCCATGCGTATTGACGAGGAACGCGATGCGCACTCCACTTCCTCGGCTACCAATACGACAACCACAACTAACACCCTAAACAGCGAAAGTACAGCGCCAAACTCTCCACAGATGCCGCAACGAGCTGATAAATTAATCCGTTGCTCGCCGTACTATTCCAGCAGCCTGAGCTCGGAGTCGCCACCGAATCAGCTGATCCAAAAGCCGCCGCGCAAAAGCTCGACTGGTCAGCTGGCAGCTGCTGCTACCGCCACAGCTGCGAGTGCCATGAAAAGCCCGCCCAGCGGCAATGATACGGACAGCTCCCTGGATGTGCGTGGGCAGGATGTCAAACAGCAGCTGCGAAGTCGTGGCTATCGCAAGAAACGTCAGTTGCCCGTGAAACGCATGCGAGCCAATCTAAATGCTGCCGCTCTGCTGGAGCAGGCGGAGAGCAGCGAATGCTCCGAAGGCTATATGCCTGAAATGGATTCGGGCAGCTCAGAATATTCGTATCAGCGTGACGAACAGTATATCGAGTTTGATGAAGAGCTGGAGCATGAGCAAACAGATGAGTACGAAGATTATCCGCAATATAGCGGCGGCGGCGCTGGCAAATTTGAGAGTTTGGACATGACCGACAATGTAGATGAGATGGGATTTCCACGCTATGATCGCCTGGGTCACATAACCAAGCCCATGTATCAGCCATTGGCCGAGAGACCGGCGCCAGCCAATCATCCCATGCCGCCGATCAGTGGGCAGCCCATTAAGCCAGCACGCACCAAGAAACGGCAGCTCAAACGCGAAGATTCCCTGGCACCTAGCACCTCGAATGCTAGCCAACAGCAGCCGTATCATGGACGCAGCTACTGTAATCCCGAGGAGAGCGAGTACGAATCTCGTGAGGATGTGGCCAACTCGAGTGAGGATAGCGGCGCCGGCATTGGTGCCATGGGCACCATAAGACGTGGCAACAGTCGCGCCCCGCCTCAAGTCGAGCCGCAACGACAACAGTTGCCCTATCCGGACTTTCTCTCGGATTACGAAACAGAGCCCATAGAATACGAGCGTTATGCGTGCGGCCTGGATATACGAGTTGATCCGCCGCCCAAGTTTCATGACTCGGATGATCTGAGCGATCATTAAGGGGAAATAGTAGAAGAAGAAGCAGCAATAGCGGCATTTTCCATTTCTTCAGTTGCCTTTGAAATTTTAGAACAAATCTATGACAATTTTTACACAAGATCCAAGTATAACCAACTTATTTATAATTGAGACTGATTTACGACAACAAAAAAAAACGAAAGAAAATACTACAAAAATACCAAAACATCGTACAATCCAAGAAAAAAGTTGAATGCTGCTAAGGAAACTACCGCAAAAGCAAAAGAAAACATTATATTCATGATATAATCCAGAAAAGTTCGAAGAAAATCAAACTAATTAAAAATTTTAATCAAATATATAAATATATATATATTAAACCCTAACTAAAATATACAAAAAATACAAAATCTAACCGAGAGTTGGTCAGTGGTCAGTGAAAACATATGGTTAACGTAGCTGGAGTACACAACGTATATAGAGAAATATATATATATCGAATGTTATAGAACAGCGGCTCCAAGAAGCTAGTCAGAGTTGAGTAAATTTTAATGCACTGTTTAATCATCGAGTAACAAAAAAAAAAAAAACAAAAACAAAAAATGAAACCTACGAGAAATATTTAATTGTTATTTAGCTAAAAATGAAAGAAATCAAGGCGGAGTCAGAGCAGAGAACGTGTTTTAAGATTAAAGTTGAACAAGATTATTAAATATTAATTGAAACAAGTATTTGAATTACGATTAGTACTTAATCAGTATTATTGTATTTACCTATGCCATAAGTTCCAGTTAAAGTGTCAAAGCTTCAATTTACATATATCTATAATTATAAGTACATTCAACTGAGTTATCAGCAAACAAAGGGTTTATCTGTGTAATCACAATGTGAAAACAAAAATGATTATATATTGTAAGGTTTACCTGTGGCTACATTCGATCTCTTTGGTGGAAGCATTTATTTCATTCGATAAAAAACAATATCTTTTTTATTCGTACTATATATATATATATACATATATATATATATACATATATATATATATACATCTATTTTATGTAGCTCTTGTGCTATAAAAGTTTTTAATTTGATGGCCGAGTTTTAAAAAGCAATCGTTCGAATCAATAATGGAATTCCTATAATTCAAAATTCTTCACAGAGAACAAGTTGTATTAGCTTTAGTTCTAGTACATAAATGTGCCAAAAAATACCTTTAAAATTACTACAAAACATAAAATTAGATGCCAAAACGAAGCGTATTATATATAAAATCAAAAGCGAAAAGAGTCAAGCGAACCCCTGTTAAGTTTACAAAATCAGACATAGCAAACGAAAGGAGATGGTATTAAATTGTTAGACAGATTAAGAGATATTATGAGGCTATGTTATGGGTGTCCCCAACGTACAATAATTTCACATATTTATCGGATCAAAAGTATTTAAATCAAAAGGTCAACCATTTCAATTGGCGTTCAACTGTGTTTAGGCTTAGTCAAGAATCTATTGAATCTATTGAAATCAAATTGTTTGTTGTATCTATGTGCTAGTCAGATCTTAAGAATATTAAATATTGACTATAGTTTTTACCTGTTTTTAGTTAGTTAGTTTAGGTAAATGATTTTTGAATGGATCATACAGTTTTTTGTATAATGTTTTACAATCCAGTTTCGGTTAACCAATGCAGACTTGAGTCGAACTTCCAAATTAAGAAAAGACTAGTCAATAATTTATCCGACTAAAATTAATTCCTTCGAGTGCAAATGAGTGTTTATTTACAGTTAATTTTTAATAAAAAGTAAAAAAAGTTTTAATAAAACAAAAACAATCTTAGCTGAATTTTAGCCAGTAAGAATAATAAGAGAAAAGCTCGTTCCACACTTACTAATAAAAGTAACACATTCAAACTGCGTTGATAAAACACACACACACACACACACACATAATTTTGAAATCTTTTAAAAACGAAAATAAATTAACAAAGAAAAATTCATACACAATGCAAGCGATTAAAACAACATAAATTTATTATATAGAACGAAAAAGCAAAGTAAATAAAAAATTCATTAATCAAATAAAAAAGTGTTTTAATGAATTGATGATCTTAAGTTTAATTAGATGTTATTTAAATTACATTTTACATTTATTTATATAGTATTAAATAAACTTTCACAAGTTACAAATAGTATTTATTTTTTATAAATTATTTAGCATTATTTTAATATTTGTTGCCATTATTTATTAATTTATGATTTTCAACTCATCGTTTGCGCTTTCCAGATGTCTATCACGGCATCAATGGCAATATGTCGTTGGATAGGCGTGGTGAAATAGCCACGCCCCCCAGTCGTTACGATCTCACGTTGGGCTCCGACAAATCTTCATCACTGTCGCGCTCTGAGGCGGGCACGTATGACGTCATTCAGGCTGAGATACAGCACGCCAAGCGTCAGGAACTAGCCACAGGCGTGGCCAGCGCCCACAATGGACACAATGGCAACGGCGGACTACAGATATCCATGTCCAACAATAGCCATGATATCGAAGCAGAGGTCAAGAAGCGTAAATGGCCAACAGAGCCAAGCTACTTCTTGGCCAAGGAGCTGCTAATGACGGAACGTACCTATAAAAAGGATCTGGATGTGCTGAACAGCTCGTTTCGGCAGGTGCTTAGCGTGGAGGATGTGGACCAGCTGCAGCCGCTGTTCGAGCTGCTCGATTCTCTGGCTCAGCATCATAATCTATTTCTGCGTGACATCGAGCACCGCATGGTCATGTGGGAGGGGCGTGGCAATCACGATACCCATCGCATTGGCGACGTCATGATGAAGCATATGGGCTCGCTGCCCATCTACGACGAGTATGTGCAAACGCATTTGGATATCTTGCATTGCCTGAACGACATGTATGAGTCGGATCAACGATTCCAGCAGCTCTACAAGGAGTTTGAGCAGCAGAAGGTCTGCTATCTGCCAATTGGTGAATTGCTGTTGAAGCCGCTGAATCGCCTGTTGCACTATCAGCTGCTGCTGGAACGCCTCTGTGACTATTATGCCGAAGAACATATCGACTATGCCGATTGCCAGGCTGTCTATCATCTGCTCATCCGCAGCACTAAGCAGATACGCGCCCAGCTGCCAGACTCGGCCAATTTTGTGGAGCTGTGCGAGTTGCAGCGCGACATTAGTTTTGAGCAGCTGGTACAGCCGCATCGCCGACTCATTCGTCAGGGTTGCCTACTGAAGCACTCGAAGCGAGGCCTGCAGCAGCGCATGTTCTTCCTCTTCTCAGACATATTGCTCTATGGCAGTAAATCGCCGCTCGATCAAAGTTTCCGCATACTTGGCCATGTGCCCGTCCGTTCGCTGCTCACCGAGAATGCCGAACACAACACGTTCTCCATATTTGGCGGCCAGTGCGCCATTACGGTGAGTGCAGGCACCACCGCCGAGAAGACCCTTTGGCTGGCCGAGCTCTCCAAGGCGGCGGCCGACATCAAGAACAGGCCACCGAACATGCAATTGCAGCTGACCACGCTCAAGAATTGTAGTGAGTATCCCAAATTTACTGACATGGAATATACTATGAATATCTCATCATATATTTAGATCTTATTTCATGTCCAGCTCTCGCAATAGCTAAATTAATCGACCCTTAACGTAATTTACTTCCTATTTTAACATTAACTTTCAATTTGCCTATCTTTTTACTTTACCATTCAACGTCTCTATTTACTTTATCTTTCTCTACTCTCATTATGGCTGGCAAGAAAAGCACGCTGCAAAGCATCGTAAGACATCAAGAACCCCATTAATACTTTTCTACGTTCGCAAGCACTCGATTTTTGCTAACCAATATCTCTCTGGAATATTCTTAGGTTCGTCGGAGGAGGGTCTGGACATGCTGGGACTAACCAATGGCACAAACAGCCTGAACAGCAGTGTAAGTGGCGCGGGCCCTTTGACGCCGCAACAGCTCCAGATGCAGCAGCAGAACAAGACGCAGCCGTCACGCAGCAATACCGCACTACACGTCTGCTGGCATCGTGGCGCCACCGTTGGTCTGGGCGATCATCTCATTGCGGCAGAGCATCAGCTGTCCGGCTATCTGCTGCGTAAATTTAAGAACAGTTCCGGCTGGCAGAAGCTCTGGGTGGTCTTCACATCGTTCTGTTTGTATTTCTATAAAAGCTATCAGGATGAGTTCGCGCTGGCCAGCCTACCCCTGCTGGGCTATACGGTGGGTCCGCCCGGTCATCAGGATGCGGTTCAGAAGGAGTTTGTCTTTAAGCTGTCCTTCAAGAATCACGTGTACTTCTTTAGAGCAGAGAGCGCCCACACCTACAACAGGTAAGTTACCTCTCACCTGACAGCCTAAGGAGCGCTATTAATGTTTCTCATTTCATTACAGGTGGCTCGAAGTACTGCGCAGCACCACTCAAACGCAAGATTTCAAGAATGTCCACAGCCATGCGTCCGGAAATTAAACTCCGACTATAAAATATCCAATCAATATAAAGTTAATTCTTGTGCAATTCCATGGAACAGCCTAGTTGCATTACAATGAAGCTGGGGCCAACATAGAAATGCCCATTAGTATTCTCTAAAAAACATTAATATATATATAAATATATATATATATATAGACAACGTATACACCACAAAACAATTCCCATTTTTTATATACTGTACGGTCCACTACTCTATGCAATTGACTACACTTATACACGGCGTACACATGCGCAATATAATTTAGTTAAGTTCATGTTTCCATGTAAATAACGCCTCGTATTTTACTTTTATCTGCATTTGTTTTATGTGCTGGTCCCTAACTTTACATTCTTTATAGAGACTATGTATTTTTGTGTGGCTTAATATTATTGTCTACTGAAGTATTTTCTAAACAACTTATGTGTCAAATTAAGTGAATTTTACAAAACAATTTAAAATTGCAATGGTTATAAATATATGTAAACAAATATTTGTGTATGTAATAAGAATATGCCTTACGACACTTTGCGTCGCATTTTTAAAATCTTAAACGATGCAATAATCTTGGAAATCTTTAATCACTAAGTTTAAGTCATTAAATTTAATAGATATTAACAAATTAATAAAAATTTGATTAAACATATATATTTGAAAGTGTTTTAATTGGCTGCAATTGTAAATAATATTCGAACATAATTTGCGGAAAAGAAATAGTTATAGAGTTGTCTTGCCCAAGCGAAGAAACTCTTGGAAAAAGATGAAATGGTGTTTCTTTTAGAGTCATACTTTACTTTTATTTGTAGGCCGCGCAAGACGGTTTCGAGCCATTATATGTTCCTCTTCCAAGTTAAGTGAAAAACTCCATACATTTTTTTTTATATTTTTCATTTATTGATATTTGAAATCTATAAGGTAAATTGTTATCATTTGCTTCATTTTGCTGTTTGCAATTGTTTATTTCTCTTGTGGTTTCTATATAATAGAGCTTTAAAAGGATTGCAATAATATTTTTGAGTACAATTTTCATATGTATTAAATTATATATAAAAAAAATTAGAAAACGACATGCTGCTATTAAGGATTATCCATAGAGATTTGTATGATGCTCAGAGCATCATCTACTTCATCATCATTATCATTATACGACATAATCATCGTCCAACACACAAAGTGCTAAAGTGGAGGGTCTTAGCAAAAGGAACAGCAATTTGAAAACATATTATATAGAACAATCGATTGTAAATATACGCTTAATACTAAAACTAAATAATGGTAATGCCTCCTGCCAGCCAAGACACTAGAGAGTGTACCAAAGTTTTACGATTTAGCAAGTTGCAAATGGCAGTTATGAGGTGTTTTAGACTCTAATTACTATGCATATAGTTGAGGATGTGTAAGTGTGTGTGGGAAGAGGTTGTTACTTAAATGAATACCCATTGAAATGAGCCTCGATTCGAAGTATACAAACTTAATCGCAATAGATCAACAACACATGGTTTTACAAATAGGTTTTGTTAGGATTGGTTTGATTTGTTGGTCACTGGACAGAGGCCGCAGTATTATGCATAAGAACATACAGTTTGAAAAACTAATCTGATAGCGTTTACACACAGTTAGCATATCATATCATAGATCCGATCTTAAAGAGATTTTGCATATTATTTTTTGCTTTTATTATTAAATTTGCATGCTAACAACTAACATTTAATTTTAATTGTAATCGTAGTTTAGTACTCGGTAAATTTCACAACGTGTTTTTTTTTTGTTTTTTTGTTTATATTTTTATTTTGTTTGCCAATAAACTTATTAACCAATTTAGGTAGCTTGTGCGAATAATCATCATATTACATATAAGATTAGCATGACGCGCGCTGGCGCAAATTTCTTTAATACACTGTTCAACTAGGCAGCTTGCGAATTTAAGTAGCGGATTATATTGATATATTACGCTTAACATCTCTTCTTTAAAACAAGGCAAATTTTAATTGAAATACGCATTGTTATTGTTATTGTTTTGCTTTCCTTTTTGTTTTGGTATTATATCATATACACACATCAAATGTATATATCTAGAGTAAATTTTGTTTCAATTTAGGTTTGGATTAGACTGGAAAATTAAGTAATTTACGCAATTGTTCGACTCATTTTTTTTAAATCAATTTTTTATTATTATTATTAATAACTTTTCTGCTGCTATTTGAATTATAACATTAAATTGTTGATGTTATATTGTTGTATTGTTAGCTTATGAGAGGCTGAGGAGATATTTAAATATCTATTGTTGACGCCTGAAGTTGTTGCGGCTTACTTAATTTTTTTGTTGCTGCTTCAGTGGGTTGTTGTTGTTGTTAATGTTGATGCTTTTGTCGTGTCTACGATTAAAAACATTTTGCCGAAAATATAAACTGCCCTGTTTTTCGGGTCTATATAGATATATATATATATGTATATATATATATATATTTATATATTGTATGTTTCTGTGTGCGTGTGTGTACGTATGAATATGTGTGTGCGCGGGTATGCGTGTCTGTCTGTTTAGTGTGCCTGTGTGAATGTGTGTATGGAAGTGTGTGTGTTGGTTTTAGGCGCTGTTACAATTTCATAGCATTATAACTATTATAAATATATCTGATATTATTTAATGTAAACTTGTTTATATTATTGCATGTTGTTGTTGTTGTTGCTGTTGAAGTTTCTTGCTGCAAGTCGCTGCTGCTCCTGGCTCTGCTGCTGATGATGTTGTTGCTGTTGGTATTAAAGTGGGCGCATGGCTAATCGATAAAACTTTGCTCCACACAGGCTTTCACACGCTTCTCATACTCGCGACGATTCTCTTTATACAGCTGGGCGGCGGTGGAGTTGGCCGGTGAATTGGGATTGGGATCGCTCAGCAGTGACTGGAATTGTAAAATAGCATTAGAAATATAGCTCATATAGATTATTTGGGCAGATCTAATAGTCCCACCTGTATGGATGTTAATATAGCTGACACATCATATGTGGGACTCCAGCGATTCTGCAATATATCCAAGCATATGCCACCATCTGCATAAACATTTGGATGAAATACTTTCGATACGAATCGAACTGTTGGCGGTTTATTTGGATATTCTTCCGTAAATTCTATGGTTAACTTAAAGGTACCATCTTCAAACGGTGTATCGTGTGGACCAAAAATCACAGCATTCCATATCATAATATTATTATCTGTTGGCGCACCCGAAACACCCGTTGGTGGGTCCTCCTGAAGTCTGTAAGCATTTAGAACACATGAAATTAAAAATATATTTAGCAAATGCATATATTGATAGTAGTTTAGTCATGGATTGTACTAATAATAGCTAAGCTAATTCTAACTGACTTAACTATTGCTTTTAAGGTATCTTGAGAAAAAATTTAGGAAAATGATCTAATTAATCTTACAAGGACTGATAAGGTCAATTGCGAAGTGTTTCCTCTGTAGCACCTCAAAAATTTTAACAATAAGAATCAAAGAACAATATACGATAAGACGATGTGAAGCGCTAAACAAGATGCAAACAAATATTTGTGCATATCGCTGACTAATCATGTGAGGTCTGTGTCTATATATATTTATATAAACACACATATAGTATACACGTATCTACCCATGCAAGAAGTGTCGTGTCATGATTTTAAGATACATATTTCCCCTTGGTGTCTGCTGTTCCGGCAACTGTTTACAATCAACAGCTGCTTTTATGTGTGGGTTGCAATTTTCCTATTGGCGAGTTCAATGAGCGCCAAAAAGTATATTTAGCTGTAAATCAAAATTTGGCTGCTGTGTATTTGTCAGTTATAAAAAATTTAAAGCTGTAGAAACGGAGAAATTGCGCTTGTTAAACCAGATCAACAGCCAATTGGCATACTTCGAGTCACATTCGCAATACACTGCTTCCCAGGCGCATTGTAGCCGACACTAGGCACTATTTAGGTCAAGCATACACACAAAGAAGAGGTAGACATCTACTTGTATGTGCAACAGCTACGAGCTGTAAGAGAGGAAGCAGCAACACCGACACCGATACCAGCCAACCGCGCCCTTCAATCGGCTAAATCAATACAAATGACAAAAAAGCCAAATGAAATCATCGATTAAACAACAACAACAACAACCACTACATACACATATATGAAATCAAAAATAAAAATGTACAAATAACAAAGTAACTAACAACAGCGACCGACAATAAACTTGTACTTGCGGTGGGTGGCACTGGATGGTAGTGATGGACCCGGTTTCTAACTATACAAAAAAAAAAAAGAGCAAGAACAACTTTGAGCTACTTCAACCAAGTCTTATTTAGATACCGATCAAAATTGATATTTTATTGATTTGACTTATAAAACTGGACTTAGAGCTCGTGTCCTACTGAATAAGAAATCGGTTATGCACCCATCTCTATTATGGAGTTTTGTAATTTCTGCTGCCTTGAGGCAGCCTTGACATTTACTTAACATAAAGAGGAATAACCCAACCCCATTTCACCCACCCATACATGTAATGTCCTTTATCCAATCAAGTAAATATTTTGGCAGGGAAATTTATAAAAAGTAAAAGAGCTGAGGGATATTGCAAAAATTAAACCAAGTAATGAAATTGAATGACAACACAACAACAAGCACAGCGGTGAATGAAATTCCAATAAGACGCTGCGCTGCTCTGCGCTGCGCTGCTCTGCTCAGCTGCAGAGTATGAGTATGAGTCAACAAAGTTGAGAGTGACGAAATATTTTGAAACAGTGAAAATCAGGATGAAGCTGACTTTGTTTTGGGGGCAAATGGGAGCAACAATTTGATCATTGTTGCTTTCGTGCTTTCTGCTCTGATTGGCAAATGTTGTTGCTGTTGTTGTTGTTGCTGCTGCTGCTGTTGATGTTTTGGCTGCGACGCAATTGCACAACGGAATAAAGAATTTTTGTACATTACGCTTTGCATTTGTTTTATGTTCTTCTTTGCGCAGATTTAGTTTACATGTGATTTCGTTTTGTGCTATGCTTCAAAGTCAAGTGTCAAAGACGCAAGCAACATAAGCATGTTGTTCTTGTAGATACTGTTGTAGTAGTCTCACAAAATAAAAAGCAGCAAAAAAAGCAACGTACAATCACACACACACACAAAGTCACAACTGGTACGCAGGTCACATACACACATGCACAATTTGTATTTTGGCTGCGCAAACTTTTCCACGGGCATATGTACATACAAGCGTGTGTGTGTATGTGTGTACATACATACACACATATGTCGCCCCGTTTCTCCATTTCATACCAGAATTGTCAGTGTGTGTACTTTTCTTACCTTTTAAAATCTCTCATAAGACGTCTGCGTGCGGGTGTTGACATGTTCTACAACGTTACTACCACTTGTGTTAAATGTAAACTAGAACGTTTAAGCAATGCGATTTTTTATAAACAGAAACAGTGAAATTTTGTAATTTTATTTTTAATTGAGGGCACTGAGCAGCGTAAGAAAATGTATCGATACTTCGCACATACCCAACGATATAATGCTCGATACTCGATATCTTAAAGAGCTGCCAGCTTATAGCTATCGCGTTACGATAGCAGAATACTGTCCACTCAGCAGGCGTACTCCACCAAAAACAAAAGTATGCTCCACACTTAACAGTATTATCACTTCTTCCACTCTGCATGCTCCTGATATATCAAATCGTAAGGTGAATGTTCTTACTTATAAGTAAATAACACAAATTTCATATTTTAATTCAATGAGAAGTTATAAAAACTTTTTTTTTACAAAATATTTAATATTGGCTGTCAACAACAGTACTCCAAATGTAAATCCTATACAGCGTGTTAAATGTTCCCTTTTAACATTTCCCTAAAGATGAAAACAAAACAAACTGTAACCAAAAATACTGCGGGAAAAGAACTCAAGAAGCCAAAAATATAAGATTAGGTGTTATTTAAAATAGGAAATAAATGCTTGGCTATAAATTACTCATAATTGCTGAGTTATAAAGGTAAGTATGTCAACCAGGCTGTAATTTTTTTTTCTATACTTCCGAACAATTTTGAAAGTAATAAAGAGAATTGTTTGTGCTCCATTAAAGTTTATTTATGAATTATATTAACACTAAAATTGAGAAATTAACTGTATCACAAGTAATAGCATATAGAACATTAAACATGCAATTTTTCATTAAACTGGAAACAGCTCATTGTAGGTGAAATTCTCCAGAATCTTAGTGGCAACTGCCCGGAACTTGACTTCCAATGCACGAGCAATGGGCGCTATCACTTCGTTTGTGAATAGCTCGAAGTTCTCATTGATTGTCTGATTGATCACATCGCCCAATACCTTGTCGCCATTGAAGAGATTTTCCAGACGTAGACGACCCTTGCCCGTGCGTATCTTCAAGCCGAACTCCTTCAACTCGAAATAGTCAACATCGTTGACGTTTTTAACGTCGTAAACGATGCGCACGTAAGCCACAAAGTTGGTAAAGTTACCCACGAAGGGTCCATTGCCCTTGATGGGCAGCGCCAGTATATTGCCATTAATATCGTATTGACCCTCTCCTTGCAGCAGCGGCAATACCAGCTCAAAGTCGAAGCGCTTGTTCTGTATAGAGGCGCGCATTTTTGTTATCTCAAAGTTCGAAGCGCCATAGACACTCAGCTTCTTGGCCTTGACTGTAATGCCGCTGGGGCCACCTTCGAGTATGTTCAAATCACCGATGTAGAGCGGTTCCAGAGCGGGCACATTGATTTCCTTGATGCCATTGCCCAAATAAGGACGCAGATTGTGAACGCTCTGCTTTACGCATTTGGAGAGCTCGGGATCGTGGCGATGGCAGATCTGGATATAGTCCGCTAATGAATTAGATATAGTAACAACGGGTAACTATGTGCATATCACAATAACTGGTCATTTAACTCACGCATATTTGATGCATAGGTGTAGCCGATGCAGCAGAGCAAGAGAGTGGCTACAATGATTCTGGATTCCATTTTTAGACTTGCCTACAGAGAGTGAGATAATTAGCTTAGGAATAAATTCTTCTTGACATTCTTAGTTTTGATACTATTAACCCTTTAAATTGTTTTCGTCCGCCTACCAGCTAAACGCTTTTGTTAATGTCCGTTCATTATGATTTAAGCAAACTCATCTGGCTATTAGAGTTATTGACGTCACAGCAGCTTTATTCGTTTGATAATACTTGACGATTTGATTAGCATTAGGCGCATTTACCAGCGACCGCTTAAGTGCAGCCCCCAACAATAGAATTCATATAATTATCCATTAGTCGCTGCATGCATGGTCAGTGTTAATTATTGGCCATAAAATTAAATAGGGAACACGTTCATATGTGTCTGGCCTGTGAAGCTAGTGAGTTGGGCTTGACAGGGGCCTAGCTGGGGCCACCAGACGGGTCGCAGGTTGCGGATAGCGAACGGCCTCCTACCAGAGGTTAGCTGCGAATAAGTGGAACATCTCACGAATAAGCAGCCCCGGACAGCCAGCGGATGCGTGGAAATGAACATCGCATCGACAAGGCGCTTGTGTTGCCGCCTTTTCAAAAGCATAGCTACACACACGCACTCACACCTGGGCTGGACTAAGGTGTCAGTCGACCCGTGCCGAGAGTCAACCCGGCTGGGGGCCCAGGTTCAACAAAACTAGCCCAGTCTTGAACGGAGAGCTGAGGCAAGTGGCGACCGCCTTTTCTATGTAGCCTTGCCCGGGTATTGCGGATCTCTGCCCGGGTCGACCTATCTCTTTCTCCGCCACTCGTGGGAACAAAACAAAATGAATTCAAATCAACAAAACCAAAAACGGGAGTACGGTCCTCCGAATCAAAGACCAAGAGAAACAACAAGTTTCACAAGGGCTAGAGAGGCTGAATTAAACAAGGGCAATCGATCAAAGAAAACCAGGCAACCAACACCACGTCCTGGCACATCCGGGGAAAACCCAATTGTTAGCCGAAGACCTGTTAACTTTTCTAGGACGGATCCATCAAAAGCTAACAAACTTGACAAGGCCAAAGCCAATCGGATATTGAAACGCAATGCTTACGCACCGATTACTGAAGATCAGGCCTCGTCGAGGGAAGACTATCTTAAAATTCAAGAGGATATCGCATGGGCAAGAGCTGTGCTGCCAAACTTTAAAGCTGCCCCCTCAAGTCCCCATCAGCCCATAGAGGCTGAACCCATGATTGAGACATTAATTGTCGAAGTTAAAAATACGGCAACAAAACGAGGCCATGTGTTAGAAGATGCCCTCGGAAGAATAGATGCAGAAGCTGAAATTCCTTCAGGCTCCTATCAGCGCGTCGATGGGGCCTCCCCCGCAAAACGCGCCCGATCTAATGAGACGCCATTAAGAACATTTGTGACTATGGCGAGAGGACGGCAGATAATTGGTATCATTGACAACAGCCAGCCGGATGGTAAGATTCCTCGGAACCAATGGAGCTTGATACAGGCCTCTATGGCGGCAGTTGCACTTGAGGTGTTGCGAGATAACCCAGGTCCGCCACCGTCATGCATGGACATTGGTTGGTTTCAAGGGACTACCAAACTGGTTGCTTGCGACGATGATCGATCTGTCCTGCTTTACAAAGGTGCACTAGCTAAGATTGGCGGGGTGTACCCAGGCGCTCAGTTGGAAGTGATTGATGTGCAGAACATACCAGCACGTCCTTGGGCTACAGCTTGGCTACCCGAGACACCCTCCGAGTCTAATGACATTCTCGAAATGTTAACAAAATTCAACCCGAATTTGCCGACAAGCAATTGGAAGGTTATCAAAGCAATCAGGTTCAGGGAGGCTGCCATGGAAGTGATATTTCAGATCAATCAGGAGGCAATCCTTTACCTAACTCGGTGTGATGGTCAATTAAGCTATGGCTTCAATAAGATCCACATGAAATATTACGCCGCGCCACATGAGGCGCTCTCAAATCTGGAAGCATTTGCAGCGGCTGTTGATCCACCCAGTGATGACGAAAAGGAAACCACCGAAGATGGTTTCAACGAGGACCTATCCTCAGAGTCTGACTACGGAGGCAGTCAACACAGCCTCTAATAGGTAATACCTACATCTAATATAAAACCATTCCAAAGAACAAACTGATATGATAGCCCTACCAGACCTAAAAGTTAAATAAAGCCTATGACAACCTGAAAACCTAACTGCAGGCTAAACTTTTTATTATTCTCGATTATGTAAGGTTTACTGTTCCGAACTGGAATTTGTTTTTAACGTATTGTAGTATAGTTTCTTAATAGCACTAAAAAACACACTCGCGAAGTCTTTACAAATTTAATTAAGTCTTGGTTTTTTTTTAAATATTGTTAAGTATTAACAATTGTGAAACTTATTTTTTAAGAACTTTTTACTAACGTTTTATTTAATAATTTCCTTTTTATTTTTTTTTTGTCAACTGAAGATCGTTTTATCTAGTCGACTTGAGTTGCTTTTTGTATGTTTGTTGTTTTAGTAACCGTCTACAGATCGTACTGAATGCAAAATTGTTGAGGCGTTCGCGTTTTATAGCAAAGCATTGACGCTTCGATTTACATGAGAGTTGCTGGCGAGCTTAGAACTGGGCAACGTAGAACCCCAAAACACGTTGACAATGCCCGGGCCAGAGCAAGTGCGGTTGGGGCTGCGGGAGCCGAAGGCAGACATACGCTGGGGGTTAATAGTGAGAACGACATGTTAAGCGGCTGCGGGTTAATCATAATAATAATCTTAATGATCGCATTCACACAAATGAGTTTCTCTGTGTGCGCGTGTGTGGCAATACCCGGCCCACAGAAAAAGCTACAATCAGGCTTTCCAATTAAACTGCAGCTCGAGCTGCCCCTTTTGGTAAGTGATGAAACCTGCCATATATATAAATATTGGCAACAATTCGTTCGATTACCTTCATTAATATTGTTTTTTGTTTTCTTTTAAGGCACTGCAATTAAAAATTTTTTCGACAGGGGCCCACGAGTCGTGTTGACAATCCGACGAGCTTTGTAATTAGAAATTGCATCGCCTGTCATCAGAATATTATATAATCTCACTGGCACTCGGAAGGCAAGGCTGAGACTACGGGTACGGTTACGACTGACATGGTTCACTGCGACAACTGATGGGCTTCCCATGGCGTCTGTTATGGCTAAAAATTGCTCAAGCACACGCAAGTGGACGAGTTATTATAATTAGATTATACATATGAAACGCTAAGGAAAAGCTGTTCGGGCGTTCGAGTTGGATAATTCCAGTACAACCGGCTAATAAGTTGGATTATGACAGAAACTAAAGCTGTTTCTATGATACGCGAGCTGATCTCGTAGGAAATTCTGTTATTTCGAAGAAGCAAACTATCAAAAATAAAAGACACTCGATTCAACAAAAAGGTTTTCTTTTGCTTCGACCATGGAGATTTGTTTTCGCCATATTTTGCAATTTGAAAGTAAGTGAAGCAAAGAGATATTGTGCACCTAAGAGTATTCTTAGCCAGCGTTTATCTACATTGAAAAGGCTACATC